ACACCACACGTAACACCACAACACCGCACCACTGTACCACGACACCACACGTAACACCACAACACCGCACCACTGTACCACAACAATGCATGTAGCACCACACCACAACAAACCCCTTTACAACTCTGTACCACAATAACATACCATTGTACCACACCACAATGTACAGCTGTACCACAACCCCTCAATATACCATTATACAACACACCACAGTACCACAACCCAACACCACTGTACCATTACACCACACGTAATACCACTCCACCACAACACACCAATGTATCACAACAACACACCACTCTACAAAACCTCACCACAATAAACCATTGTACCACAGCACCACGACAACATACAACAACACCGCACTACAATAACATACCATTGTACCACACCACAATGTACAGCTGTACCACAACCCCTCAATATACCATTATACAACACACCACAGTACCACAACCCAACACCACTGTACCATTACACCACACGTAATACCACTCCACCACAACACACCAATGTATCACAACAACACACCACTCTACAAAACCTCACCACAATAAACCATTGTACCACAGCACCACGACAACATACAACAACACCGCACTACAATAACATACCATTGTACCACAACACCACAACATATCACATAACATAACACCAAACGTAACACTGTATCACAACACCACACCACTGTACTGTAACACTGCACCACTGTACTGGACATAACACCACACCATTCACCACAACACTACACTAAAATAACATACCATTGTACCACAACCCCACACCACCTTACTACAATCCAACACCACAACAACACAGTACTGTGCCAAAACACTATACCACTGTACCATGACACCACACCACAACAACAACACACTACCGTACCACAACACTACAACATACCACTGCACCGCAACACTACACCACAATAACCTTCCACTGTTCCACAAGACCACACCATAACACCACACCAGAATATAGGACTATAAAACAACACACGTAACACCAAACCAGTGTACCACAACACCACACCGCAGCAATGTACCACTGTACCACAACATTACACCATAACAGACCACTGTACCACAACATTACACCATAACAGACCACTGTACCACAACATTACACCATAACAGACCACTGTAAAACAAAATTACATTTCTGTACCATAACACAGCCCAATGCTGTACCACCACCCCACAACATCACAGAAGTGCAGTAGTAACAGCTGAAGACCCCAAAATCTGTTTCTCATACAAATTAAACGGTAAAAAGGCACATCCTGCTTCTGGAGTCCCCTAAGGTGTAGTGTTTGGTCACATGACTGTACGGAGGTTTGTTCACACCTGCATTGGGCACCTGCGGTTTGGGCGGCACAAGCTCTGTGGGCGTGGTCTTGCTGGTGCTCGGACTCAGCAGCTTCACATAATTGGCTGGAAACCAGCCAATCTGTCGCTTCTTCCCTCGGGCCTGAAAAGATAAGGCAGGTGGTTACTTTTGTGTAAGCTGAAACGAGGAGAACAGGGGTCAGAGTGGGTACAAACCTGTAGCTCCCCCTCCCACCAGCCACCTGGGTTCTTCTTTCTGATGAGGATGAGCTGTCCAGGAGCCAAGGTTAACTGCTCTGGCCCTGTGGCGGTGTAGGGGGCAATCACCTGAGCAATCTCTGAGAGGGGGCAGAGGGGATAGTCAGGTAAGCAAGGAGATACCACACCGAAGCACGGCGATAACCCCCCTCACAAGACTGGCAAGGCTTGACCCATTTTCACATAATTAAGTGATGTCCAGCCCCCCCCCCCCACCCCACTCCCGTGTCCCTTAACCAGGCATCACTAACACATCCAGACCCATGTGGAATACAGTCGAGTCTCACCTGGCTTCTTCCCCAAACTCCCTGTCTTCCCTGCAGAGCCCAGGGCCTAAAGGGACACAGAGAGGGGGCTTAGCCAGGCACAGAGGGCATTGTGGGTAATAGAGTTGAAAACTGTTTGTAGTCGTTTTCAGTGCTTGATTCTCCAGAAGCAGCTCTGCCTCCCTGACTGTGATCAGTCTGTCATCAGCCCCAGTGAAGGCGAGTCCTACCTCCGAGTCCCGGGGCCTCACATAGTTGGAGGGGAAGACCCCAGTCCTGCCTGCTGTCGCACCGGTCCACCAGTCCCCCTCCTTCTTAATTACCAAGATGACATCCCCCTGCTGGAAGGTAAGGTCGCCCTGCTCGTTGCTCTCATATGTGTACATCGCTATGTACTCTGGGAACACAGATACACACATTTATCAACAATAATTACAAATAATTTATATGCTTATACTTATTATTACAGGCAACTAGAAAACAGTACTTTTTTGTAATAAGTGAGAAAATCAAATCAAGAAAAATACTAAAATATCAACAGTGGAAAAGAAAAACAGCAGCAATCATGTAGTGGGTGTGGCTAGTGGCCAAGCCCAGAGGGAGTGCATAGGGGGTGGGGCTTACTGTGGTGGGCGGGGCCAAAGGGAGTGTCTAGGGGGTGGATCTGGCTGATGTGGGTGTGGTCAAAGGGAGTGTCTAGGGGGTGGGGCTGACTGTGGTGGGCGGGGCCAAAGGGAGTGTTTAGGGGTGGATCTGGCTGAGGTGGGCGAGGCCAAAGGGAGTGTCTAGGGGGTGGATCTGGCTGAGGTGGGCGGGGCCAAAGGGAGTGTTTAGGGGTGGATCTGGCTGAGGTGGGCGAGGCCAAAGGGAGTGTCTAGGGGTGGATCTGGCTGAGGTGGGCGGGGCCAAAGGGAGTGTTTAGGGGTGGATCTGGCTGAGGTGGGTGGGGCCAAAGGGAGTGTTTAGGGGTGGATCTGGCTGAGATGGGCGGGGCCAAGTGGGAGTGCCAAGGAGGTGGATCTGGCTGTGGTGGGCGGGGCCAAGAGGGAGTGCAAAGGGGGTGGATCTGGCTGAGGTGGGCGTGGTCAATGCTGTCTGAGGGATAATCACCTTCTCCAGACTCTGTGGGCTTGCTGGGGGAAGGTGTGGGCCTCTTGATACTCGGGGGGCTTTCAGACGAACCTGACTCGATGCTGCGTGGAAACACAGTAAGGATAAAGTAAAAATGAGCTCAGTTAACCATCCTAAGGGCCACGTGATGCTGAGGCTGTGCTGGTGGCTCTGGATTACACTGCTGCCTGGCAGCTGGGGCTGTAAATCACACCTCCAGTCTGTGGGTGATGTGGGAGTTCCTGTGTTGTGTGGGTTTTCACCCAGTACTCCCATAGTTCAAAGACATGCAGTTAGAGTAACTGATGTCTCTAAATTGCCCACAGAGTAAGATTGGGTGTATGTGCCCTGCGATGGACCGTCCAGGAAGGAGCTTGGCCTTGGGCTCTAAGCGCCAGGCGTCACAGACTAAAGATAAGCGGCTGGAAGTTGGATGGATGATGGCAAAACAGTAGGTGCATAAACCCTTCAGATATCTTGAACTAGAACAGTGTTTCTCAACCCAGTCCTCAGCGAACCCCAGCCAGTCCACGTTTTTGCTCCCTCCCAGCTCCCAGCCAATCAGGAACACCGAATAGCTGGTACAGGTGCGCTGGGAGCTGAGAGGAAGCAAAAACATGGACTGGCTGGGGTTCGCTGAGGACTGGGTTGAGAAACACTGAACTAGAAGATCAGGAAGCAGAGGAAGGTGGTCCTTGGCGTGAGATGGCTCTGTCTCCCTCTCTGTCCCATGCACACACACACACTGTGGGCACAAGACGGTTCCTAGTGAGTGAGGGTGTGCGGGTGCCACACCCACCTCAGCGACTTGCGCACGGGACCCGAGACCAGCTTGACGTACGACTTGGGGAACCAGCCCCGCTGGCCCTGAACCTCCCCGAACCACCACATGTCCTGCTGCTCCAGCACGGTGATCACGTCGTTCTTGTTGAAGTTCAGGTGGTTGTCCTTTTTGGCTCGCCATGGATACAAAGCTTGCGCCTGGAGACCCTCCACCTTCTCGCCCTGAGAGAAGAAAGGAAGGTAGTGTGTCCACTAAGGGGTGCCACACTCATACTCGACTTAGGAGTAATCAAAGCTGCAGAGGGCGCTGTCCCCAAAACAGGCAGCATGCCCACTGGGCATGTGTCCACCATACCTGGCCCAGCACGGGTGAGGGTGACGATCCTGTCAGGGTGGCAGGGGTAAAGGCAGACCGCTGCCGCAGTTGTCCACCGCTGGGCACCGACAATGAAGGCTGGGGGGGCCATGCTTCCCAAACATCCCCCTCAGCTTTTTCTACCGTGTTCGACGGCCACCTGGAGTCAGGGATCAAGGTTCAGAAGAAGCCTTCGCGCGTCCTGATGGACCCCAAGTGGACTTCACTCTTGATCTGCTGGGATCTGGCACTCGTGATTTTATCATTTCGGTTTCAGTGTGACTCACGTGCTGCTGAAGTCCGCCCAGTTGTTGGAGGAGGAAGACGATGAAGAGGACGGAGGTGGTGGGGCGGCGGAGGTCACTGGAGGCGGGGCGGTCCTAGCCTCAGGGGGAGGTGGCTGCATGGGGGTGGGCGTGGCTGAGGCGTTGCTGGGCGTGGTGTGAGTGGCCAGCTTGGGGGCGGAGCCCATGGCAGCCCCAGACCGAAGAGCAGCAGGGACCTCTGTGTCTGTCATCTTTTCTGCATAGTTGGCAGGGAACCACCCAGTCCTCCCGTTGAGCTCCCCCCCCAGCCAGCCAGGCTCACCAGTCTGCGATTCGTCGACCTGGGAAGGGGGGGGGGGGGATTTATGGGGGAGGAGTTACAGGTTAAGCCACGCCCTCACAGAACAGACACACCCACTAGAAACAGCTGAACATCAAATACCGCCAATAGCAGCCACTATGCTCACAGGTAGGTATTCCCCAAGATGCCACGACACATTTAAGAAGCTACTCATGGAGATGAAGCGTGTCTAACACCTTTATACGGCATATAACTGGACAATCTGATAGCTTCCTGCACATACAGGCCATGCATGTTACACTAGGGTGACCTAATCCATGTCAGGAGGGACACTGAGCTACTTCAGGTTTCACAAGCTACTTTAAAAGTGAAAGGCTGCTGTGCTCGGCTAAATTATTTGGTCCGTCTTGTACTTTCACTGGTTTGTTTCACATCAACATTAGTGACGCATATGTGATTATAGGAGACTGACCAATCAGCACGCAGCATGAACTCCAAGTGCTTAAATGAAATCTGGGTCCTTTTAATACAAATGGCTGAAATGGTAGCTTACGAACCCTGTCGTAGCTCAAAGTGTCCGTCCTCACATGGATTAAGGGGTCGCCCTATGTCACAGGCCGATGAAGTGCTGCGATTCTGCTGCCAAAGCCTGTCTCCTTGCCAATCCGCATCCACACGCGATTGCCATCGCTTTCATCGGATCGCAGCAGATACAGGCGCAGAAACTCAAGCCAGGGAGATCACAGAGAGCCGGCGGGGTGCGGTGGGGGTGGGCGACAGAGGATAGGGCGACCAAGCAGCACTTACCCACTCCCCTCTCACCTCCAGGTGCAGCGCACACAGGTGAGACGCAGGGTTAGTACTTGTAGAGACGCTCACCACATCGTCCACAGCAGTACTACATTACCCATAAGTCCACGCTACACAGAGGACTCATTCTGAGAAACACCTTCCTCAAAGAACCTTGTGTCATTTCCTGTTGTACACATCACAGCTACCTTAATGGCTATACCTTCCCCACACTACAGGGGTCGCTCTCCATGTGCGTGTCTATGCTGACTCACCATGACTATGTCTCCAGGCTGGATGGTGATCTCGTCATGGCTACGGGCCTCAAAGGGGTACAGGGCTCTGTAGAACACCACCTTCACCTTGTCCTGGTTGAAGCCAGTCACTGGGATTTTGTCTGCTGAGGGGGGGGGGCGAAATCAGGAAAAAGTTACACCACCAGTTTGGCTTTTTTAACAAAGATGCCCGACTCAGCGGACAGACTTGAACTGACCCGTGGGCCAGGCGGATTGGGCTGGCGGCTTCCCGGCCTCCGGCTGTTGGCTGAACAGCTGGTTGAGTTTGTCCTGCACGTCCCTCTTGTTTCTCCCATCATCCTCTGCCACCCGCTTCATCCACAGCTGTGGGGGAGGGGTGACCTTGTCCCCCCCTTCATCCTGCCACACGCAAGGCGCCTGTTCTCCCACAGCGTCCAGCCTAGCGGGTACAGACAGGCGGGGCTGACCCAAGCCGACCTTTCTGCGACTGACCTGTAACCACTGACACGTGTCGAGCTTCCTCACCTGCCCCCCAGGGGCTCCGCGGCGTCCTTCTCCGCCTCCCCATCCTTAAGCTTCCCCTCGGTCTGTTCCTTCTGCTGGACCTCTGGATCCAGGTCCACCTGCCTCTGCTGACTGCAGTGCACCTCCCTCAGCTCCTAGGCATGGTGGTGAGGAAGGCAAGGGGCGGGGGTGGTGTGAGGGCTATTGTGTCACCCTATAAACAATACCTAGTCTCGGCAGTCAGTTCTGCGCCTGTAAACCATCCGTGTTGGATTCTGGAAATGACGTCGCTCCCTGTCGAGAGACAGAAATTCCCCATGGAGTCATGCAGTCACCCTACAGGAGCGTGGGCAGGACCACGGCGAGGGTTTCTGGCCCCATCTGCACAGGACAACAGGGGGCGCTGTTCGGGAAGGCGAGGACGGCAGCGACGGCGTGAGGATCCGCAGCAGCAGCAAGCCCGCGCATCGTTAACACTCAGTCTTTGTTACGGGGCGACATTAGAATGTCGTGATTACACAACACACTCGATGATGGGAAACGGCGTATTATGACATTCCCGGGTAGCCAGGAGTGACCCTTAGTCCTGTGAGCAAGCAGACATTGAGCAAGAACCAGAGACAGTGGTTGTTAGTTCACATCACACATACACTGAAACAGGCCCGTCAGGCCAGACCACCCAGTTCAGAATAACATGCAAATCAAACCAAACACCATTTCCCTGGCACAATCACCCCCTCTCTCATGTTTCAGTCCATGCCCTGCCATCTAAATTGCCCTCTAGGTACCAGCTGCTTGGCATCTTACTATCTCATTACATCCTTCTGGCTGCTTGTGCAATCGCAATCAGATTCCTTTTTCCTTCTCATTTCCCAATCTAGCAAACGCTCTGAAGGACACAGAACATCTTTATATATTTAACACTCCCACCCCCCCCCACCCCCCCCCCCCCCCCTCACAGCCACATTATCCAGCCAAATTCACTGACGTATTTGATGTAATCCCAGAAGCAATCAAAACATTTCTCTTCGCATAAGGTTCTCTAATGAGCGTCCACAGCTTCACGCTGCCTGCCAACAATTCAGCCCTTTTGGTGAAGCTTTTAAAGCCGACGGCTTCGGGTTAGATCCACGATGAACGTCTCCTGCATTCTGAGACGGGGCCAGATTCACTCACTGGCATCCTCTGATAGACCCATGCGATCCACGCATTTGGGCTCAAAACTGATCTCCACTCAGCACAAAACCAGACACATAAATCTGGGTCTTTATTCCAAATGAATAGCTCCCTCAGTGTATGGATAAGGATTGTGCTTTTTGCTTCGTCTCCAGACATTATTCTAAGCTCATTCATGATTCATACAAGCTCCCCTCTGACTCTTAATATTGTTAATTTTTTATGTTTTTTTTTTTTTCTTTTCAGATTTTCATTCCTAACTATATCCTGCAGCATCTGTCCCACGTCTCGGAAAACGACACAGCTCTGTAGCCAGGGCAGACGGGTAACCTGTGGCAGACTGCAAGCCTGCTATGTCACGACTAGCATGGCTTAACAGAGCGCCACCTGCTGGTTTGGAGGGAGCCTGCCTTTCACAGCTGCCCTCCAGGAATCCAAGCAGAGGGTCAGCAGTAGCTCTGAATGAGCCTTAGGGGGGGGGGGGATACAATCAAGAAGAGTGGGAAACACCTGCAAAACGGAGCCAGGAGGGGCGGCAAGACAGCAGTGCCTCCTCCATCAGGCCTTCATACTGCAAAAAGACAGGGGGCGCTGTGTCAAATCTCAACAGCCTGCAGCTATCGTCAGTCTTAAGTCAGACAAAACATTAGCGGCACATGCTGCTCTGCCACTGCACTCAATGAACATCAGGCCTCCAGTGTCCTGAACACGGTCCCTCCCTCTCCAGCCTCACAGCAGCTGACACTTACAGAGAATCCTTTATCCATCCATAGCGAGGCAGGCAGTGTGAGTACGAACCCCAGTGTGTGAGTACAGCAACTCCAAATTCAGTCTGCCTTGCGGCAACTTAGCTGAGGAATTAATCACTAGCGGCAAAGGTGCACTAATCTGCAGCATCCAGCAGGGGCAGCAGTGAGCAGCACACCCAGTGGCCCAGGAAGGGCCGTTGGTGACTACCTGGCTCCCCCTATGGTCCTGCTGCAGCAGCTCCAGATGCAGGCCTTCAATGCGTGCCGTGTTTACTTCATAGAAAAGGCCGAGGGCCTGGAAGACGCCCAGGCCATAGACATCGGGGTGGGGTGGTGGGAGGGGGGGCAGCAAAAATAGAGTAAAACATAGGAGAAAAGACGAGAGGTAGGACAGCGAGCCCTGACACACCCTGTACAGTGTATCTGTAGTGTGTGTGTGTGTGTGTGTGTGTGTGTATAGTACAAACCCCAGAGAAGCCTGTAGCGCCCTCTAATGTCCTCCTCTGTACTCTGGTTCCCACCCTCATCCATCCAAAGTACCCCCCCCCCCCCAGGATCAGAACAGCACGGAGCTGACAGAGGGGCCCGGCTGGATGTCCCCCCCATATGCGCCTCTGAATGAGACCACGTGCCCCCACCTTCAGCTGAGTGTTGAAGGCGTCCATCTCCTGCATCTTGGCCCTCGTCTCCTTCTCCACCACGTCCAGCTGGCTCTTCAGCTGCTGCCGCGTGGACTCCTTCGCATCCAGGGCTTTTCGCAGACTCGCCAGGGTGTCCCCTGAAGACGGAACCGGAAGTGTGAACGCGAGCCGCTCAACTCGTCCAGTGGGGCGGCGACAGAGAGAGGCCCTGGGCACTACGCCACTTACTGTGGAGGCTGTTCTGCTGCACCTGCTTCAGCTGGTCATTCAGGCTTTGCTTCTCGGGGATCAGCTGGCTCAGCCACTGCTGAGACTCCTGTACCATGGGACGAAAGCATGAGGGGAGGGTCCGCATCGGCCCCACGTCGGCCCGGGACCAGACCGGGGAGCAGTGGCCGTACCTGGAGCTGGCGTTGAAGGTGCGTGATCTCAGCGATGCGCAGCTCGCGGGTCTTGTTCGTGCTCTCGATCTCATGCCTCTGGGCAGACAGGCGGAAGCGGATGTCCTGCAGTTTCCCCTCCAGCTGCTGCTTCTTGTCGTTCTGGCGGACAAACGGCAAGTGACCGTCATGTTTCCACAAAGATAAACGACTCACCCAACCACATGCTCGGCTGCCAAAAAAAACCATAACAGTCCAGGGGGAAAAGAAAAAAAAACCAGGCTGGGCGACTGTAGCACCAACAACGACATTCAAATGGTCGGCTCCCATCCGTGGTGAAAATTTAAACTGGAACACACCAGCACGACGAGAGGCATACAGCCCCATCAGAGACCTGAGTTACCTCCAGCAGTGATTGAAGATGCTCGATCGGCCAAGACAGCAATGACTAACTGCGCCATACACACCGCCACAACGGGCAGTCTTCGGCATTCATGGCCCTATGGCTTCCAGCGGCCAAAATTTGGCTTGGTGTGCTCCAGGCTTTAGCGCCTGGCAGTTTACAGGCCCCGGATCACACTCTCGGGTTTGTCTTCCCCCACTGACAGCCGCGCAGACCTACCAGTGCTTCCAGCTCAAACTCCAACGTCTTCTTCCTGGCTTTGAGAAGGACCATGTCCTCTTGCTGCCGGTTTCGGTGCGTCAGCAGCTCCTGCCTGCGAGCTCGCTCCCACTCCAGCTGCCGCTGGCGCTCCTGTTCCCGCTTGGCTGCCTGGGATGGGGGGGGGGGTCGTCGCGGTCGTCAGGGAAACCATGCACCCACACCCCTTCCATGCGCCGGGCACTCACTCACCTCCCTCCTCTCCATCTCTTTCCGCCTCTCTTCCTCCCGCTGCCTCTCCAGCTCCCTCTGCTTCTCCAGCTGCTTCTCCAGCTCTTGCTGCCGCCGCCGTTCCTGCTCCAGCCGCTCGCGCTCCTTCCGCTCCTGCTCCTGCCGCTCCAGAGCGGCCAGGCGCTCCTGCTCCTTGCGCTGTTGCTCCAGCAGGGCCTGCCGACGCTTCTCCAGCTCCAGGCTCCCGCGCTCAAAGTTCTCCCGCTTCTTGTCCTCAAACGTTACTGGAGACGGACAGGATTAATGAAGACGAAGGTTCATTTTGACGTGCAACACCCATCGTTCAGAAATGCGACCATCAAACCATCACAGGGCTACATGAGCTAGAGGTGACAACCACACCCACACGACCTCTGACCCCTGACCTGGCAGCTTCTTCTCCGTGCCCTGCTGCTCCTCCTCTTCTGGCTCCTCAGCCCCACGCTGTTCGGCACTTTGCACACTGGTTACCGAGATCCCGCTGCCAGAGCGCCCTCTCCTGGAAGGGGTTCAAAACAGCACCTCTATTAACTCCCGGTGATGGGCTGGAGAAACGGCCACAAAGGCCCTTGAAGCGGGCAGCCACACTCACGTACCGAAAGGTGGGCGGGATTAAGTCCGGCGGCAGCACCAGAGGAAGGGGCAGCCCTGACATGGCCATGTCAATCAAATGCATGGCCAGGATGAACTCCTCTGCCGTCAGTTTTCCGTCCTGGTCAATGTCCGAAAGGTTCCTACAGAATCATGATCCAAAGGGAGGTCTTTAACCTCAGAGCACACCTTGTGCTTGCAGTTAGCAAACAGACAGGATGCTGGTAACTTTCAACCACGCTTAAAACGGCGGCATTCCTCCACCTCACCATATCGAAGCCAGCTGCGCTTGGGGTAAACTGCTCTGCATCAGGATGGTTCGCGCTTGAGGTCCTGAAAAGGAAGTCACAGACCGTGAGGGAGATTACAGAGTGGAGCGAATTGGCTTCAGCACACCGTCGAACCCCATGCCGTGGACCCGCCAGCTTCAAATGAACATCACTTACAGTGAGCTTAACTGGTCACTGAGCTTCTAAAGCAGAGATCTCCAATTCTAGTCCTGGAGCTGTACTGTCCAGTAAGTTTTCTAACCTACTTGGCTTCTGAGAACCCATACCTCTTACTGGTATTTAGGACCGAAAACCTACTGGATAATAGCTCTTCAGGAGACCCCTGTTCTAAAGTTTGTGAATTAACATGGTCCAGTTACAGGATGATGTAATCCACACTGTGGGTTGTTATAGTGACCTAGCAGCATCTTGCACGGCATCAGTAGGGTCCAAACTCCCACTGACAGAAGCCTTTCTAAAGAGGCCACAGGTTAAGACCATAGCTGACAGAAGATCGAGTCTCTTCAGCAGAACCAGATTCAGCTGGTGTGCAAACAGCGTTATGAAAACATGCGCAGAGCATATTCTGCATGCAGAATCTTTTTTTTTTTTTTTAATTGCTGCAGAAGAAGAATTTATAAAACAACACATGGGGAGGGTGAAGCTCACACAAGCGGCGCCCACCTGTCAGATGGCCACACATCATTTTGTCATGGCTGTTAAAAAGCTGGCGGTACTTCAGTCGCGAGGACTGTGACACAGCCCAGTCTGTAGGGGTCGCTGTCGGGCCACTGCGATTGGAAGAAACACAAACGCCATGAGGCTACCACAGGCAAACAAACACAGCATAAGAAATGTTGTTTTTTTAGGGCTATGGAAATCTCCTGGCTTTGTGTGATTACTAGCTCAAAGAACTACCTCTGTACCCCCCACAAGTCATATTCACATTATATAAATATATATGTATATATAAAGCTGGTGTAGGTTGCGGGTTGAACTGTCCCTTGATTTAAAATTGAAACGAAGACTTTTTCCCCCAACCGAGAAGTACAGGGCAAGTTGTGCAGAATAAAAAGACCTTTCAGGAGTTGCCAATTTCACACGCATCCACGGCGCCGGTCTCGGGTAACAGCCTTTTAAAGACTGGGGGCTCAAACTGGTATTTCGTTCTTATTTTCTAATTTGCATTCTCCCATTTTCACTGGCATGCTTCCCACCCCAAAAAACACAAAGTCAGACGACCAGGGCAGGACATACACAAAAATGAAAGATACGCAAGGAATGCGAGTCTACAAAAACCCAACAAATTATACTAATAATAAGTTATATCCTGGTTATATGACCACGATTATTGGATCGCTCTTTAGGCAATGTTTAAAACCTACTAGTAAAAAGATATTTTCAGATATTTTATCTATCTATATTATCTATTTGATGTCCTTATTAAAATCCACAGAACTCCACTGACGTAGGACAGGACAGGTAACCCCAAAAACAGGTCTCCCCCAAAAACTGGTCTCCCCCAAAAACGGGTCTCCCCCAAAAACGGGTCTCCCCCAAAAACGGGTCTCCCCCAAAAACGGGTCTCCCCCAAAAACGGGTCTCCCCCTGACCCCAAACCTGGCACCACACTGCCTCTTTCTCACTAAAGGGCTGTGAGGGGCAGAAAGCTTAATCCCCTCCCCCAGCTATTTCAATGCATCATGGAAGGAAGCAACTAGACCTGTGTAAGTGGCCATGCCGGGTACCAACAGCAGAGCACGGGCGTCCGAAGCCTAGCTCTTGGATTCAGGAGGTAAGGAGCATGCCCGGGCACCCACCTGGCAGACTCCAGAGACAGCCCCTTCTGGAGCTTGGCGCTGGGGCGGCTGACGGAGGAGCTTCGGTTTAGTGCAGCGGCTGGATGGCGAAAGCACAACTGAATTTAGTCATTTATGGGGGGTGGAGGGGTCGTGGAGGTTAGGGGACAGGACAGAGCGCACCTGAGTGTGTGAAGCCAGGTAGGGGCTGGATCATAGCAGGGGTGCCATTGGCTATTGGCGCTGCGGGTGCGGGAATTGATGACACGAGAGGGGGGGACATGCCCAGTCCGGAGAGCGGGGCGAGGGGGACGGCTGGCACCCCTGGGATACCTGCCATCGTGGGCACACCTGGTATCCCTACAGAGGACAGAGTGAGAAGCAGCTGTTACACAAGGGTCTGGCTAAGCAAGTTACCCGGCCATGTGTTGGGATCGGCTTACCGTAAGGGGGCAGCTTCATGGCAGGGGGCAGAGATAGGGGCAAGTTGTGGCCCTGCAGTTTCAGCTTGATCAGCTTCATCGCGATGGAGAACTCATGGATGTCCATCTTCCCGTCATTGTTCATGTCTGCCAGAGTCCTGGTCAAAGGCAAGCAGAGACATGAGACTGCAGTCTGTATTTCTCAGTGTCCTCTGCCTCCTTGGTCCCAGCCATATATCTGTAGTTAATCTCTCTTTCTTCTCTGGATGTGTCGCTATGTATTACAAACATGCCATTGTACACCCTTCATTGAAAAAAAATCCAGCCTTGATCCTTCACTCCCTAAGAATTATAGGTCCATTTGTAAACTCCCATTTCTCTCTAAATTCTTTTCTTTAAAAAAGGTTGTTGCGCAGCAGCGGACTATTTTCCTTGAGAAGCATAACATCCTATATCCCTTCCAGTCAGGTTTTCGAAAGCATCATTCTACTGAAACAGCCCTTAAAGTGTCTAATGATTTATTGAGGGCTGCAGATGCTAGTGAACGCTCTGTACTACTGCTGCTTGATTTTAGTTCGGCTTTGGATACTGTTTATCATGAGATTCTTTTAAGTACATTAAATCACTCAGTAGGGATCTCTGGCTTGGGTCTGCTCTGGTTCTCTTCTTTTCTAGCTGATATGAGTTTTGTGTGGGTGAGCTTTCATTGGCTAGTGCTTCTCTGACTTATGGGGTGCCCCAGGGATCTGTTTTGGGGCCCATCCTTTTCTCACTATACATACTTCTATTATTGCATGCGTCATTGCAAGTATTTAGTTCTTTCAATGGTATTTCTTATTTCTATGCTGATGACACCCAACTCTCCAGCTCTTTAAAGCCTCAACACCTTCATATGTTGTTTTCTCTAGTGGACTGAAACTAACTGCTGAGAAAAGTGAGGTTTTAGTCCTTGCCCCCCTTACAGCAATTAGTCAAAAGCTTTCTCTACATCCTCCCAGGCATCCCTATGTAATTTAGGTATTGCTTTTGATCAGTCTATGAGTTTTGATGCTCATGCCAGGTCTCTTAGTCACTACTGCTTTTTTCATTTGAGAAATCTAACTTGAGATTATTTTTCTCAAGAGCTGCGTTGGAAGTGCTTATACATGCATTTACTTCATCACGTTTAGACTACAGTAACTTTCTTTTTCCCTGCTTGTCTAAATCTGGTTCCTCAGCTCGCCTTCAGACCATAAAAAATGCTGCTGCCAAACTTTAAACACGCTCTCATAAGTAGACCCACATTACTTCCATCTCAGCTTCTTTGCATTGGCTCCCGGTTGAATTCAAAATCCAATTTCAAATTCCTATATTCATCTACAGAACCTTGTCCAGTTTGGTCGTCTTGCTATCCCACACACCAGGCTGAGGACACATTGGGATCACACCTTTCAGTCTATGGCTCCCAGACTATGGAACAATCTCCCACTGGCATTAAGTTCGGTAGACTCAGTCAAATGTTTAAATGTAAGCTCAAGACCAGGGGTTTTCAACTCCAGTCCCAGAGAGTTACTATCCAGTAAATTTTCTATTCTACCTGGCTTCCAATGAGCCACTGCTGCTCCTGGTATTTACCTGAGAACAGGTGTGGCTCATCAGAAGCCAGGCAGGATTCAAAACCTACTGGACAGTGGCTCTCCAGGACCAGAAACCCCTGCTAAAGACCTCCCTCTTTAGGAAGGCCTTTGGTTGACTTTGCTTTATCTATGACATTGTCTGGGTTTTCTTTCTGTACAGCACTTTGTGACCCTTGCCTGAGAAAGACACTATATAAACAATTTTTACTTACTTACTGAGACCACAACATACAAAAATCTCAAAGAAGCACGATTTCGGTAACTAGGTGCCCATGTAGGACAACTGGCAGATTACAGTTTACACAGACAATACATTAAATCGAGACAGTCATCTGTTCAATGGAAGCAGACCCAAACACAGGGGTACGTGACCATCCAGTCTGTAAAAGGAGGCCTGTACTGGGCACGTGTCTACCAGCCCAGGCCAAGTTGTGAAAGGGAACCCAAAGTATTCCCAGTGGGAATTTTGTCCTGAATATATGAAAACATGAACTGCAATGTTAACTTGGTAGTACTTTAACAGGGAGTTCCCTTAGGCATAGTAAATAGATAACCTTCCTTAGGCTAAGTTTTGTTGTAAGGAGTATCTATGTGTAGAACCCTTCCCATATCACCTACCAAATCTGCGCCAGAACTGGTGGGGGCAGGCCGGATTGCAGGAAGAAGTTCTTAGCCTGGTCACCTGGAAGAATAGTGAAGGACGGCAACCTCAGTAAATCGCTTGTCCTGCTCGGTGCTCTTATTCCATGTGGAATTCCCATTACAGAATTCCCCTTCCCAGACTGACCAGTGATGAAGCCCGCAGGACTGGGTGACAGGCTGTGGAACTGCTGGTCGTGTTTGGCCCGCTCCTCCACAGTGATGACCCAGGCATCCGCACCCCCTGAGTGAAAATATGAGTTGAAAGAAGAGACGGTTTGGAAGGCAAAAGGCACTATTCATGGCAGTGCACTGGTTTCATTTTACATCCACAAACACCGCCACGGCTGTACGAATTATGGGGAGGTGTCCCCCACGAAGATGCAAATAGCATTTATAACATCATAAAAACAGCCCACTGTCATGTGACATTCCCCACATCCAATAAGCTGCCTCTCAACAGAAGATGGGCCAATGCCCAAAGACACACAACTGCACACAACGACAAAGCAACACACCATGTTTGGCAGACTTAATGTCTGCAGGAGCCTGACTATGTCCAGTGTTCCATGTTCCTTAGAAATTAATCGCGACACCTTGAATTGTTTGAATTTTGAAATTAGGACACACCCATTAATCACGTGATCAGCCAAGTCAAACCTGTTGGACTGTTTGTGGAAAATGTGACAAAATGATGAGAATCATATTCATACGGTACCGCATCACTGGTTGTGCTTTGGGGGTTGTGAGTCACCCGCTGCATACCAAACATGTTCAAGCAGGGGCAAGATACCCGCCGTCTACTCACCTCCGAAAGCTGTTGGAAACTGAGCCATGTGTGTCGGTCACCTAGGCCCCAGACGCAGACTCCTGAAATGAGAAGGAAGAAAGCTGAGCGGTGACATCCGGTGGGAGAAACTCCCTTCTGTCATGCGCTTATCCGGCTCCTAGGACCTCCCTGCAAACAATGACCAGTAGCAAGCCCTGAGTTTAAGGAGCGAGATTCAAAGACCTCCAACATGAGCCAGAACCTGTTCACCTGAAGCTGAAAACTGCCCTTCATTCCACTAAAAGAGCAGAGCAAAAAAAAAACCAGACGGAGTAGAAGGAGTATGGGATTTGTTTTTAATCTAATTCCATTCACAAATCATCAAGCAATTAGGAAATCCAGTCTGGCATAACTTCCAGTATGCACACACCCATACACACACCCCAGATGTTTCAGCCATCATTCTCCTGCAACCCAGCACCACCCAGCCGTGGGTCACTGTCTATTTCTCAGGAAGAGCTGTTCAGCCCTATGGACTCGACACAACGCCAAGGTTTTTTCCCCCCCACCACCCTACAGCAAGGTGCTGCCCACACATGCGTGGTAGAATTCCAGCCACCCACTTTCCACGGGGGGCGCCAACTTCAGACAATCACCTAGTGAAAGGGATAGCTCACAGTAAAAGTATGACACACACAACATGCCACGCAAGGACGTTTAACTGGAACAAAATCAAGTTTCCCCCATGATGAAACCGGAAATTCAAGGGAAAGACCCATGACAACTGCTGGACATATAATCCTGCATCCGAATATCAGTCTCAGAGTCGGAACTCGGATGAAAATGTCACGAAACGTAACAAAAAAAGTCACTTCCCGTCGGAAACGCGCCTCTTTTATGACATTGATGTCGGACAAAATTTTGTTGTCCGAGTTTCCCCTGTGACGTCATTTCAACATGGCAGCTTACACAGTAATTTTATTTTATAAATATTAATAGTTATAAATGTAATTGCACGTGTTCGATTAAGAGAATACCATATCATGACCGTAAACAGTATCCTAGCATGCAATATCAGATTTTTACCAGACATATGAGTGTCTTTTGTTTGAATGTAGTTTGTTTGCCTCTCGAAAAAAGAATATCGCTATGAATCTACTACAATATTATATAAATGTGGTTTGACTAGTTCATGTTTTTTGTTTATCTCTTGGAAAAAAATTCTCTCACTCCAAATCTGGTAAAATATAATGCAATGTTTGTTCCGAGATGTGTGTAACTTGAACGGGAGATTATCGGGCATGATGTCACTCACCTCGGAATTTCTGACTTCCGAGAGATAATCGAACGCAAGATAAGGACTATGTGGGAGGGAACATGTTCACACCTGTGCAAGGACCACCCACTATCCGAGCAGCAACCGCCCACATGCCTCCAGTCATTTAAATGACTTCCAGCCCCCGGGCCCCACAGAATGGCAGCACCATGGTGTTTGCATGTTCCAGCTAGACTGCCTCCTTAAGCAAAGGCTACTCAGGACCAATCGCAGTCAGGAGAGATGAACCATCACCATGACAGTACACAGAATCAATCACATACAGCACAGGTAGCCTAACCCATCACAGTGTCAGCACACTGAGTCAATCACCCACTTGAAAGACAGCCCTTCCACCCCCAAATACCGGCTGTAACCTGCCTGAAGCAGCTGCCATGCTGGACTGTCAAGTGGAGGCTGAAACTTCACCATCTGCTCTCCATGATGTTTAGAATAGGAATTTCTGCACTGCCTGGCCAAACTGCTAGGCTATATCAATATCCATAAACCAGTTCACATAAATATTCATGGGCCAGGTTGGGAAAGATACATAACTCACCGTGAGAGGTTCAGGATAAAGTCCCAGCTCTTCAAAACTGAGGCTGCACTGGGCTGAAATTATGGCATCCAAAATTAGAGAAGCAACCTCCCAAACAAAATTTCAGGGTTCCTAGCTACAAAAGCATGAATGAACAAGCAAAGACAAAGGAAGTCCCTGAGTCCCCCAAGGCCATTTGCCCTCCAGTACAAAAGGAACTTCATGTCTAATGTGACAGGAAAAGAGCAGCTTTGGCACTCTCCATTTCTCCTAAGGTGGAATGAATTATTAGTATGTCCCCATGACAACCCACGTTTGACACATTATCCAGGTTCCAGCCCCACACCCGAGATCAGAAAAACAGCAAAGAAACAAACAATCAAGTCCAATTAGACCTGTATACTACAGGGCACTAAGGTGAAGCGTTGAGTTTTGGTTTAAACACATCAGCAACAATTTACATACATGGAGAGATTATATAAACAGCACCACAGAAGTGACTGAGAACCATAGGATCATCTGGAGGTTCCAAACCCGATCTTTCTAGTATCACATGTTCATGGAGACTTATTCTACAACCTTCAAGAATCTGTAGAGCACAGCAAGTCTACAAGTTTGATGACTCTCATGCCAAAATGTGTCTAAGACAAAAATACAAAGGACGAGAAAAGCTTAACCGTAGTAATCCCAACTCGAGCCTCCATATGCTACTTGCACAAACTCAACCATCTATCATGAAGGCAGACAGCACATCTGCAGATTAGATCCTTTGCAACACAGAACCACAATGCCTGGTTAGCATAGATAAACATGGAAATAAGGTCTCTCCTCAGATCCCACCAGAAATCAGTCTGGTCCCAGTATTTATCAGAAAGGATCAGTATGATGGCAAAGACACATTTGCCATTACACTGGAGAGGCTGTGCTTGTCAACTGGGATCAGGACTTCAGCCCCGGCATGCCTTACTGAGGAAGGCCTGAGAATTTCCAGATCAGACTTAGTTTCCCATAAGGGCCACAAAGTACTCAAGTCAGAACAGCAAAAATTCCAAAGTAAAACATGGCCCAAACCCAATGGTTGACCCTTTCTGGAAATGTGTCCACACATTGGCCACAGGGAACAAACACTGGAGTGCAGACGTGCTATCAGTGTGTAAAAACCATTAGATGAATGGAAGTGCTGACCTACTCAGCACCAGTATTCATGAGAGCCGTCTGTGTGTGTGAAACCCTAAACCTAGACCTACATCATGGGAATACTACACCTTTGCTGCTCACTCTCACTCAAGCACACACAGGCACGCTCTTGTACACTATGCATTAATTACACGATACAAGAGTCATTTAGCACTTGAGCGTTCTCAGTTTCTACCCTCCTGTCACAGACCAGCTGCATCGCTTACTACACAACTGCAACAACAGCATCAAGGGCCAGTGCAAGGAAGTTGGTTGACCACAGGGACCACCACGGTTATGAGGTCAAAGTGTTTTCCACTCTCTGAGGATGAGGCATTAAGTCAGGGCCACTCAGATAAGCCAGTGTTTCTCTCTTACAGTGAAATATTTCAGCTCTGGCTAGATGACTCCACAAATGCCAGAATGTGGCAAAAACGTTTCTTCGCCTTCAATGTTGAGGTCATTGGGATCCTCTTCCCTTTTTCAAGTACTTGTAAATGCTAGGAAGAGAAAGTTAAGGGAAAAGGATGTCAGAACCTCTGATCCCACAGTCTTCCAAGATGGATGCTTTCACATCACACCGGCAGGGGGAGATAGCGACTATGGACAGCTCAAAAGCCCTGACATGGGGAGAAACAGTATTCTAGACGTCATTTGATTGCAGAATCCCCAGAGAGGTGCTACAGGAAGGTGTCACAAGAAGATGCAAGCAAAACAAGAAAGACTTTCAATCCAGAAGTCACAATTTATGCCATCTTAAAAGACGACATCACTCCAAAAATCCATCAACAGTAGAGTACAATTGCCCACAGAGACCATCCAAACAAAAAGCTCAGTCACTCAAACTAGCTTTTCACTGATGTCCATCAGTGAAACCAAATAATCTAATTCAAAAACGTTCAGTCGACATCAAGTTTGTTTCTTTGTTGTCTAAATAAACCTGTGATTATAACGATTTATTTAAAACTGTTAGCCATTCAGGTTTGAAACTCAAACATCTCACAGAAATCAGAACTCTGTGTAAGGGGACGTCAGGCTGTCTGATAAACACAAAGCTGTCCCTCTGGGGTTCTAACAAGGGGAGAATGGGGAAACTCGCGCAACAGAAGAGAAAGGCAGACAGAGTCCTGTTATGTGCACCACAATAACAGCCCATAGATTCCACAGCCTACTTGCCCCTCTCCCAGACTACCGTCTGAGGATTCAGAAACAGCAATTACGTCCACAAGACACGGCCAACCTGAATACCTCATTGACTGCTGATATTTCACAGAAAGCAGTGCAATGCATATAAAACACAAGCAAGTATCCAGCCGGGCAGTTCTTACTGGAGTTTCACTAACAAGGCTGCAGCCTGACTATGATCTTTGTCCCTGAATAATCTACCCCAGTTTACACAATGTCATATAAATTTGCGACCACAGTACACTTAAATAAGCAAATGCACTGTATTTCACCACAACGGAAAAAAACGCAAACCCTGTATTCACAGACTGCTACTGGTTATAGATGCCAGGGGATGTTAGTGACAAATGAAAAAAAGTTAGAAACAGATAAATAAGGATATAGCTGAACAGTACTTCAAATATTACCAAATCGAACAGTAAATCCTACCAGAGCGAAAAGGCCTTGCACTGAATCTTTTGACCCTGTGTGGTACTGAAAACTTTTGAGCAAGTAATGTGAATGTTTCAATATCACGTCTGTTTCACATGTGCTACAACAGAAGATCCTAAACGTTGAGCACCAAACTGCTTCAGAGAGACAGTAGGTTCATTGAGTTATGACCAGAATATGCTGTGAAATTTCATTTTATGGCTATTCTACAAATGTGAAAGGATCTATTCCAAGCAAAACATCTGGGGAAAAACCATAAATCAGCTGGGATGCAAATTCTCTGCGATGCAGCCGTCAAAGCATAGGCATACAAGTTATGTGGTGTGAGGACAGCTGATTAACCGATTACGCTGTTTCACACAGATTCTTACTAAAGACAGTAAGAGTACAGTAAATGGTCATTATGCCAGAAAGAGAGAGAAAACGATCCCTTTTCAGAATATACTGCAGAAATTGTTTACAAGACCACACACCTAGATAACAGGAACACAATGACTCCGCCCGCACCATACAGTTACCCCATCCCAGGGTAGTTACCCCACCCCCATCGTACAGTTACCCTTCCTCACTATACATTTTCCACACCCACCACCTTACACATACCCTACCCACCATACATTTACCACACCCATCGGACATGCATCCCAATCACACCGGTACAGCTTCCCCACCCGTGGTGAACGATAAACAGAACTGTCAGCTCCAAATCACACCCCATGGCACTGTGGATGTACCAGACAAACAGCAATACAAATATTTCGGAAACATTGCAGCCAGTCCCGAAGCGGGAACGGGGCCGGCTTCGCCCCTAAACTGCCATCTCCCCCCCAACAATCGGCCTCAAAACAGCACGGAAACACCGGCTATAGCCCGTCAGACAGCCGTGCAGCCCGCTCGCCTGTGTCAGCCTACCCAAGACGGCCCGGTAGGTCGCAAAATAGAGACTAAAGCACGTAGATGTGTCGGTAAGTCGGACGTCGACAGGGATCTCCAGCGGGGTCACCTCGCTTGTCACCCCGCATCTGCGGCTCCAGTGATCCCACCCCGTAACGCGGAGAATAAAGCTCGCCAGCTCACCTCATCGCTAACGATCCATGGCAAGCTGCTTCCTTGTTAAAGAAAAATCAGACGTGGAAGAGGCGGAATAATGTCTGCAACCGAGGGAGAATTTGAGATTTTCCTTTCTTTGGCACCCTCTCCTTTGGAGCCGCCGTACTGCTACGCAACCAAAGGAAGACGCACCCTGCACGCACGTAGACACGCCCAGAAACCTAGATTGACAAGTTCACCAGCCAATGAATCTCAATAGACGGCTCTCGCACTCGCCGGTCTACAAATGGAGGTGATTGACGTTACTTTTAGCAAATAGCAGCAATGAATTCCCAGTAGTGCGTCTCAAAGCGGCTCTGCAATTGGACAACAAGCAGATCCACCCTGTAAAGGCGAAGCGAAAAATAGAGGAAAATACTGTATTGAATGAAAATACGGAACTCAAAGGTCCAATAAGCAAGTTCTGTATGTGTGACAGCCGCAGGGAGGAGACGTGCTTTCATTTTTATCCGTTTTACAAACAGAGGATTTTTGCATCGGGTAAGCTTGCTTCTAATTTTCTAATAATCGGCACTATTGTGTCCTGTACTGCTTCTTCCCGACGGCTTTCTGGCTTAACCGTAGGCCGACAGCCAGGCGCTATATCGCAGACAGGTTTATGATGACCGATGGCCTGTCATTTGAGTGCATTATGTACGGCATTTTCCTCTCCGCAGCCCTTGGAGCTGTGCTTCCTCCCCCAGCATGAAAGGTCTGTACGGCCAGCTGAGAGAGGGAAGCGGGGAGCTCAAGTTTCTCATCCAGGAGAAGGTACCTGACAGCTTTCAAAGGGAAACAAGCTGACCCGTTTTGGACATCTATCCGGAATATTCATTACGGCACCTGCAAACCCTCGGTCATGTGTACTTGTTCGGTTAAAAAGTAACCCGTCTGTGTCCCTTTCCCTTGCAGAGCGTTCCCGTTTCTCCAGAAAGTCATCAGGTGAAGGTTCAAGTGAAAGCCTGCGCTCTGAGCCCAGTGGACACGGGGGTAAGTTGCTTATGAGACAGAAGATACCCCGCATGTGGGCCAGTCTAGGACAGCGGCTTGAGCAGGAGCTTATAATTTGCCATTTCAAATGAAATAAAAAGAAGCTTTTGTGTTGCCTGTCGTAATCAGTCAAACGAAGTGGAAGTTACGTATGCCCGTTATGAACATAAGTATACAGTTAGGGCGTCACAGGAGGCCCAGAGAATCAGGCGGCACCGTCTCAGCATGTCTGTGCTCCAGGCAAAGAGGAGCATAGAGTATGCCATTCTACCCACCCTCTGCATCCAAACTCCTGCTTTCTTTTGCATACTTTTGTTCTGGGCAGTTTTTGGATGATCTGAAGCTTCGGCGGGACTTGTTGCCAGTGGGCAGGGAGATCGCTGGAATTGTGCTCCAAGGTCAGTGAGTGACAATGTCCTCTGTGAGTAAAAAGAAATCATGCGCCATGCTCCCTACAGTCAGAAAAGTAGTTTGATGTATCTTACAAAGTGTTTTATTGGAAATGTGGTTATGTTACCTTCGAACAGAGCGGTTCTGTCTCCATCTCAGGTTCTGTTTTGTGCAAAATGTGTGTGCGGTAGGTCTTTCTGCGTCTCATGACACCCTGGCACTTGTGCTGTCAGTGTTTCCCTGGGTCAGTGTCCCTAAGTGTGATTAAAAAAAGAGAGAGCAGGCCGCTGTGAACCATAAACCACAGAAATACACAAAAGTGATGAAATCAGTCCCAATTTGTGTTTGATTTTTCTCCTCCGTGTTTTTCCACAGTTGGGCCGAAGGTCACATTTTTCCAGCCTGACGATGAAGTTGTGGGTAAGCATATCAAGCCGGGGTGCAGATGTCTGCAGATGTATACTCGCTGTAGTGAAGTAGGGGAATTACGTGGACTGTAACATCAGCATGGAAACCTTCAGTCAGACATTGGGAGTTTATGTGACCTTGCAAGGGACATAAAGTCCCAACTCTGCCTCTTGTATTGTTACGTATCTAAACTGATGTTACAATAACCAAACTACCAAGTGTGTGGACCAAGTGCTACTGAGCAGTGACTGAACTTGTGTCCAAACAGGGATTCTGCCTCTGGATGCTGAGCTGTCTGGCCTGTGTGACATGGTTCTGATGGACGAGCACCTCCTCGGTAGGCCAGGCAGGGGACACCGAGCATGCAGACTGACATGCCTGGGTTACTAAGTGTAACTCTTTGTATGGTCGGTGACTCTTTGCAGTGCAGAAGCCAGAGAAGGTGACCTATGTGGAGGCTGCTGGTGGGATCCAGGACGGCCTGCGGGCCTACACAGCCCTGCACACGCTGGGCCGGGTGGCCGCGGGGCACAGCGTTTTAGTGATGGATGGCGCTAGTGTACGTACCCACCCTGTAACTATATGAGCACTTCTTCTCCCCGTTCTCCTGTTTGGAAAGATGGTGACCTTTGCTTATCCTCCTTTCCCCTCCTCCTCCTCGTGTGTGGCTTTCTTTTGCAGCCGTTTGGAATGATGACCATCCAGGTCGCTCACTACCATGGGGTGAAAGTGTTAGCTACTGCTCTGTCCTTGGAGGATCAGCGGCTCCTGGAGAAGCTCCGGCCCAGTATGGGTGAGGCGACCTGTCATCTAATATGCAAGATGGTGACTTCAATTTGTCCGAGCGCATGCATACTGTTCTCACGCATACAGTATGTACTACATTAAAGGTTGATTAGTAAGCTTCTGTAGAAATTCACTATGTACTGTGTAAGTGATTTCCCTTGCTGTCAGGCCTCTGGGTGTATGTTTTGCACAGTATTTTCTCTCTGTTCTTCTCACTGACTACTCTCTGTGCTCTGCTGTCTGCCACATGCCCAGGAGTCCAAGAGTCTCTCCTAGGTGAGCGTGGCCAGTCCCTGGGTGTGGTGCTGCTTCCCTGATTGCCTGCCATCTGTTTGCTTGTTTCTCCCTCCAGAACCTGGTCAGGAGTTTAAATGCCCTCGTCTGCCATCTCAGGCAGGCAGGGCTTGGAGGCTTTCCGTTCGCTCAGCTTGATTCTGCCTTTTTGGGCTTTTTTCGGGTCTTGTGTGTCTGGTGTGGGGACCTTTGTCATGAATGAGCAGGTGTAAACAAGCAGACACCCAAAGTGGTTTCACGTGGCTGATTGTTGTCAGCAAAGTGAAAGCAGCATGTCAGTCTGAAGGAAAGAAAATCCCAGAGTAGACTGTGATATCACATGGCTATAAACTATAACCAGAGGTGGAAAGTTCAGGTCTAGAAATTACAAATCCAGATCAAGGCTTTCGATCCAACCAGTTGAATATAAAGAGTCACAATCACAGAGTACTCAACTGGTTGCTTGACACAAAACCTTAATCTGGATTTGTATTTGCTGGACCTGAACTTCCACCTCTGACTATCCCTGTACTGAAGATCCCTGTAATGGGACTGCTGAGAGTCTGGGGGGGGGGTCGTCATTCATACTCGTCTTGTATGAATAACGTGTTGCTGTCCTCAGCTCGGATCATCAGCACCTGGGACCCGAAAGTGGACCTTGTGGAGGCTTGTCTGGAGGAGACAGGAGGCCTGGGAGTCGACATGGTCATTGATGCAGGAGGTGCGAATGCTTGTACACATTCATAACTCTCCCTACCCCACACCCCCCTTCATCTGACACATCTTGAACTGCCTACTGTGTCACTCTGACAGTGAGGCTATACGAAGAGGACTCTGTGGGCCAAAGCTTACTCCCGCACAAGCATGATGTCATCTCACTTCTTGGGGTCGGAGGTCACTGGGTCACCACAGAGCGTAATCTGCAGGTAGGGTGGAGTTCTAGTAGGAAAATACCCCTCGAGGCTTGTCAAATTCAGTGCTCACGTGTGAAACTTATGTCCGTATGCGTCGTTGCTGTGCCCCCCTCCCCCAGCTGGACCCCCCAGACAGCCGCAGCCTCTTCCTGAGGGGAGCCTCAGTGTCCTTCCTGAATGAGGAGGTCTGGGGGGCATCCCGGGCCCGTCAGGGGCGGTACCTCCGTATCCTGAGCGTGGTGACTGACGCCCTTATGTGTGCAGGCGTCCAGGAACCATGAGCTGGACCTGCTTGTGTCCAAAGTCCCACTCAGGCCTTTTCTTTAGGGGTTTAGAAGCCTAAGCTGCCTAATAGGTGGTGACCTTAACAGCCAATCAGACATCCTGAGAGACATGGTGGAGAAGCTGGCAGCCGGGACTCTCAGGTGATGTGCTTTTTATTCAGCTTTTGGGGATGTGCGGCTCAGACTGCTCTCTGGGTCTCCACATCCTTCCTGATGCTTATTTCACACTCACTGCGGCCCCTTTAGTCTCTCTGTAAAGGTTACATATTCTACATTTTGACTGGGAGTGTGAGGGGGATCAGCTAACAATGTGTGTGTGTGGGTTTGCATAGATCACATTTGAAGACCAAATTGTCCCCAAAGTGCAGTAAAACCTGAAATTTCCCTATTTTTGGGGACATCTTTTGAGGTCCTCATTTGGATAACCTGTTTTATAAAAATCTGAATGCAATCAAAAAAGTAAAAATGTGAAGTCTTGTATTTGGGTTGGTTACTTATGGTTAAGGTTAGGGATGGGTAGTGGTTAAGGGTGTCGTGATTGGGATTAGGGTTTTTTCCATAGAAATGAATGAATGGTCCCCATTTAGATAGGAAGACCAACTTTGTGTGTGTGTATAGGCCACAGCTGGACGAGCCGGTGCCCTGGTATGAGGCTGCTGTTTCCATGGATATGGTGCAGACCAAGCAAGCCAGAAAGAAGGTGGTGATTCAGTTCTGAAGATATGCCTCTATGGCAGAACTGCACCGTGAGGCTGGACCGTACCACAGACAAGTAGGGGTGCTGTTGACAAGCTTACCTCATAGAAAGCAGGCAGCATAATGATTAATAAAGCCGGCTCCATTTAAGTATGATTTTATCATCTGGATAAAACATGGTGGCTGTTTGTGGTTATTGGTTTAAAATTCTTAATTTTCCAGTGTACGTGTTGGTGACTGACTTTTTAAATAAAATTCTTATTTTCTTATATTATCCTTTATTGTACACTAGGATAAGTGTGAAACAAACTAGGATTTCTCATTTTGCAGATAACATTATTTTGGCACAGATCTGGCCAATACAGAAAACTATTTCTTTCAGAACGTTGTCATATTCCTATTCGGAGCACAATCGCTGCCATCTTGGGTGTTCCTACTTCACATTTTGAGTGAGGTATCTTCAGAAGTATCACTTTTTCCATCAGTTGAGGTAAAATGGGTTGAACTACAATATGGAGAAAACAGTGTTACCTTCAATCATGTGTCTGTGCCTGCAAACCAGTTTAAAGAGATGTTTCTGTTCATAGGATGAAATGAAGGGCATTGACTCTCCCCCCCTATCAATTTCAATTTAAATACATTTTGCATGGAGGATAACAGGTTTTGGCCATGAATTTCATGCCCAGATGTGTCATGGGAGAAGCAGTGGAGGACGGATGGACTCGAAGTCCGCAGTGTTGCAGCTGTTTCCCCAGGAAGTCCTCTCACTCTCTTCCTGCAGGATCAAAATTCCCTTGCGTGAGGCAAATTCGTCTTAGGACAGCAACAGGTGTGACAATAGCTGCCTGTCCATCAAGCTGCAGATTACTAAACTCCAATGATTCCCATGAATAGTCTGTAGGGCTGAAATTAGTCCAGCGTGAAAAGCCACACAGTCCACAGCTGCTTATCACAGGAGGTGATTCTGTACTGCCAGAGATATCCAGGTGCCCCCCACAACCATGACCAAGATAAGTGATTGTAGGATGGATGTTCAGATGGGAGTAGCTACATCCAGACTAACTATGAATATCCCGAAGAACTTCGAATGAATATCCTAGAATCTTCTGCTCCTCACGTCTGAGGCTTTCCACCACAGACAGCTGCTCTGTGAGAGAGAGATCTGCATCCACCTTCATGAGGGAAAGCTGAAACGCAGAGAATCACCTCAGAAACCCTCAGAACATGTGTTATTCCATTCAAAAGACAGCTTAGAAAATACTTAAATATCAGTACTTCTGAGTACCACACTGGTATTATCGGAATTCAATTGCCCACTATTACTTTAGCACCCTCCTGGAATGTGCAGGAACCCCACCCTCTCAAGAGCATCTGCGTTCTCCTCCATGAGGTGCTGGCATAAGATCCTGGCCAGATGGACGCTCCTTTCCTCACAATCTTGACTCACCGCTGCCCCCAAGAGGACAGTCTTCCAGGATGCACTACAGGACAGCAAATAGACCGAGACAGAGGCCACGTAAACGCCACATTACGGGACATCAAAACAACAGCTTCAGAAACTGGACATCGTCCATGTGGAACCTCGTACTATTGCTCTGGTCCCAGGGACAGCAGTCGAAGCGTTGTCATTAACTTCCAGGATGGGCCTTCCACCCCAAAGGTCAGGTTTCTGCAGGACAGGGAAAGGACAGACATTTGTTAGAGAGTGTGCAGGGCAGAGTCTGATCCAGAAACATTTGAAACATTACGGATAACAGAAACACTCACTCCAGGAAGTGATGATCCTTCAGGTAAAGCAGTTTATGTGAAAACTGTTTGTCCGTCCCAGTGATGAACTTCTGCAGGAGGTCTAAACACCAGGTCATATATCAGCCCACGTTTAGGTCATTTTTAAATAATGCTAACTTTCAGAGCAGTAACATAATCTTAGATGCCTAGCACATAGTACACAACACATCTGTTTTCTGGGCTTTCAACTGTTTATATATATAAAAAAAACATTCTGCAGGTCCACCCAGTTCCCTTGGACACCTCATCTCACCTGGGTCTACGTAGACCACACGGTGAGGGTTGTTTGGCGCCACAAACCCATACTCCAGCAGGAGGCGCTGGCTGTCATGGGCACCATAGCAGATGAAGGCTTGAGTGAATCTCTTGCAGCCCAGTGTACTGCGGATTTCATAACAGCTTGTCGCTTGATTGAACCCGGCCTCCACCTTGAGGCAAAAAGGACAGAGGGAGGCTGACACCAGATAGAAACCAGTTCCAGTCAGCTGCATCCCTTTCCAGTTTGGTACATCCCCTTCAGTGAAATATGTAGCTGCTTGAATGTCTTAAAAAAAACTGCCACTTCGGATTGAATCTTGCCGCTCAACAATATAGCACTGTGCTAACAACACAAAGGTTGTGGGTTCAGATCCCAATGAGCACATATATATTGTAACTTTTCCCCTGCTTTGGATACATGAGTTAAATGTAAATCCTCATCTACTAAATGCTAAGGTGTTGAAATAGTTGTGTAGGTGTAGTGTAGTAGGTGTGTGTGTGATTCATCAGAATTTACCTGAACAACAGGACTATGATTAAGTAAGTCGAGGTACGGAGCCATTGCGTACACATCGGGATCCCCGGAGAGGAAGGGACTCTGGCACCGCTGCACATACACGGTTCGGGAGTTGACCGTGCACCATGCCCAGCGAATGGCATCGCAGGTGAATATGTCCTCCACAGGCTGTGCAAAGAGGGGCTGGAGGGTGTGGGTAAAACCCCGTGAAGAGCAGTGCATCTCCAGAACTGCATCCCTCTGATTCAAGGCCTTCTTCCTGAGAACACCAGGCAGCAGGCTGACGACGCTGTCTGAGAAGTAGGCAGGACACGTGTATGATTTGGGCAGGACGTCGATGTAGGGTTTCCACCGTGACTGCGAGCCCAAATGCCTCTCAGAGATGAGAAACACACAGATGGCCAGAAGTGGGGAGAGAGGTGGTTTCCACCTGTAGGAGGCAGTAGGGACAGACACACCTTGTGATTCCAGGGCGGAGTGACGATGTTTGGAAGCATGCAGAATGCAACATTTACCCCCAGTAACAGCTAATATAATTTAATCATTTAACATACATACAACTTACATTTCACTGCAAGTTATAGTATGACTATATTTTGCGGATGACAAATAAAACCCTTGAAACAACCATGGGTGTGTTTCCCGAAGCGTTCTTAACGCTACGTCGTTCTTAAGTTCTGTGTTAAAAGATAGAACTAACGAACGACGTAGCGTTAAGAAGGCTTCGGGAAACTCACCCCATATCAGTAGAAGACCAGTTTCTTAACTGCTCAACACTGCCATCTACTGAGGGAATCCCCCAATTGCAAGTTACCTTCTGATGTATTCACCAATAGAGCTACTGAGAACAGTCGTGGTGGTTAAAAGACACGTCTCGGGCAAGGAGATAAGTACATCACCAGCCTGGAAATTCAGGGGACAAAACGACACTGTAACATTCGATACAGTCTCTTTAAATTATCCAGTCCAAACAGAACTAAGAGATATGTCGATTACCTGAACAGGCTTCATAGTCATCAGCCCTCTTCCAGTATCTGGGGGAGCAGTGAATGGGGAAAACATTGTAATTCAGAATGCGGCGCAGACGTCGTGTCTGTTGAGAAGGACGCCCACCTGAGAATAGCGCAGGAACCAGGGATCTGGAGGAGAATCCACGCTCCTTAAGCCATCTCCTCAGTTCCACGTACTGAGATTTATGACACAAGCTCACTGGAGAGGTTAAAACAGCATGCAGCAATCGATACGGTTATACATGAAAGAGAAGACGGAAATCTGTTACCGGATTCACCTGCTCGGGTGGGATCCTGCCCGGACTTCAGCCTTCTCCGCTTCCTCCTAGCGCGTCTCCCCGTCCGGTTCCTCATGGGTTCGATACACGCGGAAAACAACGTGTCTGCACGTCTATCAGACAGCTGTTTTCATCTATTAATACCTAAATCTGTGAATTTCACCCAAGGCGTAGGTTTGGTTTCAGCATTGCAAGGGACCAAATCAGCTCGGAATCCCCCGCCCCCCTAAACACACACGGTACTGAAGACATGTCCCTACCTACTTTACTCAAATCTACGTCGTTGCTTCCACCACCACGTGTACATGCAGTTCGGAATCAATCTTTCGCACTCCAACACGTACTCCGGGCTCCTCGTCGCCCCGCCCACCCCACTATGTGCTGCGGGTTGTGTGGCGCCGCTTCCGCTCATGCGCAGTTTGATCTTGAGCAAAGGGGGCGTAAACAAACGAAGAGCGTCTCAGTCACAAGCGGCTCCAAAACATATTGAGTGAGTCCTCCAACAGTAAGTAGTAATAAACATAATGCTTGAAGTGGGGTGCATTTTGACATTGTTACGAAACGCAAACGTAAATACTGAAGACATCTTCTTATGCTTGTTTCCCAACAGGAATGTCTGTGCCCAAAGTTGCATTTGTCACCGGCTCCAACAAAGGTATAGGCCTTGCGGTGGTACGGGCAATGTGCAAGCAGTTCCCTGGGGACGTGTATCTGACCGCCCGGGATGTGAGCCGAGGCACAGCGGCGGTGGAGAGCCTGAAGGCGGAGGGGCTACACCCCCTGTTCCATCAGCTGGACATCACAGACTCAGCGAGCGTGCGTGTTGCACGGGATTTCCTAAAGGAAAAATACGGAGGCTTGGACGTGCTAATCAACAATGCAGGAATAGCTTTCAAAAGTAACCAAACAGGCGTTTTCATACGTGCACGATCAGCACAATAGACCTTACATCTTATATATATTGATTTCAGGGATGTGGATGAGACAGAACCGGGAGGGGGGCACAATGAAAGTTGTTGACGCGGAGGGGGTGTGTGTTGCGCTGCGAGAGCGGTAAAAGTTGTCGACCTTAGAGGGGTAGATGAACACCCCTGCGTAAGTGGATACATTTCCAGGACATTGCACATCATTATTTGGTGCCAGGGATCTACTGTCAATTGACGGAAGAGGTGGGATGTCCGAGTACAATAGTACAGGAACTTTGCCACCTATCCATTAATTATGTTCTTCTTTGCGGTAGAAATTATTGTAATGGGAAATACATTTGTCAGGTTAATGGTGCCTTTGTAACTGAAGTCAACTTACTTCTCTCCAAGTGGCTGACAGAACACCCTTTGGTATCCAAGCTGAAGTGACCCTCAGAACCAACTTCTTTGCCACCAGAGATTTTTGTAACGAGTTTCTCCCCATCATCAAACCAGGAGGTAAGATAGGCAGGCAGTGGTCATGAGCTTGGTGTCTGTGAGGTCCTGTGAGGTTTTGTTTTATTGTGTCAAATAGTCATTTCGCAAATAAACAGAATAGTCTGCGTTTTAAATGTGTGAATATTGTTTTCATTCGGCGACTCAGTTAAAGTTCTGTTTTTACTCTCCAGATAATAGTAACTCATTGTCTATAAAACCAAATAAGGACTTTAATCAACCAGTTAAGCTGCGAGACATTGAAGGTGCCGTTTGCCCACAGGCAGAGTGGTGAATGTGTCCAGTGTGATGAGCTCTGTCGCCCTGAACCGCTGCAGCCCTCAACTTCAGGCCCGTTTCCGCAGTGATGACATCACAGAGGATGAGTTGGTGGCGCTCATGCAGCGCTTTGTGCGGGAGGCCCAGGCGAACGTGCACACGAAGAACGGCTGGCCTGAGACGGCTTACGGTGCGTCCAAAATTGGCATCACCGTGCTCTCCAGGATCCACGCTCGGCAGCTGCGTCGGGACCGGCCCACAGATGGGATCCTGCTCAATGCCTGCTGCCCCGGCTGGGTGAGGACCGATATGGCAGGACCCAATGCCACCAAGTCTCCAGATGAGGGCGCTATCACGCCCGTCTACCTTGCTCTGTTACCAGCAGGAGCTGAGGAGCCACAGGGCCAGTTTGTGTCTGAAAAGCAGGTGCAGGTGTGGTAGGAAGTGGAGCTGCCTCTGGGACATAAGTACCTCCCCAGTCATCACTCCAGCTTGGTAGTGCAATTTATATCTGATTTACACATTATTGTGTTTGTATCAACTACTGGTTAATTAATTTGATTGATGATTAGTTAATTTATGCTAATCAAAAACTACTGACAGGGTGATTTAGAAATGTATTCTAAGAAATATTTATTAGGAAAGTTGGTTAACTGTGATAACTTTTCATGTTTCTTATGAACTGCCAACTTTGTCACAATTTAAACTTTGAGGAAATAAAACTGAGTAGGAAATACTTTTTTACATTTGAGTTTAAAGTCATATTGTCAGAGGTACTAAATGTTTGTACTCCCCGTTAATGATTTGGGGGATGTGTGTGGCTTTGTAGACTTGGAGTGTCACTGTTAGACCCTTGAGCAAAGTTCTTAACCCTAAAAACTGCTCCAGAAGTGCTTTGCTCTCGCCTGTATTTGTGCATCTCATTGTATAGCAAGATGGGATATGTGTCAACTAAAGAATTGCTATTTTCCTGTATTTGTAAAAATTATAAATAAAAGTCTCCTATGCATCAGTTTTCGAATCACTTTTCCTGGTCTGGGTCACGGGGCCATATAAGGATACGGGAAGTTGCATAATGTATAATAAAAATACAGTGAAATTCCTAAGTACATAATTGATGATAGCTTTACAAAGTACACCACAGAATCACAGAATATGCGATTTACACATTTTTATGAAATTGCTAATTAGCGCTGATGATTGAATCGGAGAATATAAAATTAAATTCGTAGTTATACCACGTTGCATTTATATTACAAGCACCGTCCTGACCGCTTCCGCAGTTTCATGCAGAGAATTAATGGTGCCTAAAGCGAAACCAGTTTGTCATTGTGGATGTAGGCGAGTCTCGGTCGGCAGAGGTGTTTGACAGCGAGGAGGCTGGCAAACAATGCAGATCCGGGAGCTAACCAATGCGTGTATGGGGGTGTGTCTTCATGTAACTATTTTTGTGTGCGCGTTTTTCTTCAATACTGAAAATACCAATTTTTAATAATAATATTTAACGTTTAGAGAATGTAGAACATCCAATCTCTTTTCATTTATGGCTCGTTGAGGGGGGGAGGAGGGGAAAACAAACCAGCTCTCACCCCTTGATCACACCGTGGGTGTCCCCAGGAAGCATCCCGTCTGCGTACTGTCAGATGAGCGTAGGATTGCGGTCCATCTTTCCCAGCTTAGCCCAAGTTCCATCCGACGACCTGGCCTCCGACAATGCTTATTTTGGTGACAGTCCTGCTTCATTGTGCAGTTTAAATCGGTGGGAAGGTTTTCTCATTCGGTACCGGTATTTTTTTCCAGCGTCGACACCCTTAACGGACAGCGGGGAACAACACCCCATGAAGAGTGGCTTTGTGCGGTAAGGGAGATTAAAGCGCTTTTCCGTCCCATTAAGGTATCTTTGCTGTGCCACCTTTTTGTGCTGGATGCCCTGAAAGCTCATTAGCGGTAATATGACGTGAGCACCAAATCCCGTAGCTGTCCTTTTAAAATAGGCAGTAAAATAGGTAGCACATCGATAATCCAGAAAGAATGCACGGAGCTACGCTTTTATACAGTATATGTTCATTTGGTGATGTTTTTGTGGACATTTTGGCCTGCATGTATGTGTAATAGCACAAAGGGTTTGTGTAAGATATGAGGTTGCAGGGAATTGTTGAAATGAGGCACAACAGCCTGCATTGCAGTAACAGCCGTCGGTTTGCAAAGGTCCTCAGGGGCTCTGAATGAGACATCACACGGAGCTGGATTATTGGAAACTGGGTGTCAGTGATACAAGTGCGACGTTTCATTTACAGTTTGTAATTCTTCGTGGTGTACCTATCTAACCAATATATATTCACGCATAAGCCCTATCCGTTGTTTTCATAAACTAGATCAGTACCAGACACTGAAACAAAGTTAACACAGATAATTAAAAGAGAAAAGATGTGTTGTGGATATATATGGATGTCTAGAGAGGTGTTTTTGGGGTCAGTTATTATGCTGTGTGAAACTGGACTGATATAGATAACCTGCGACTTAAGTCATATCAAATGACAGATATCCCCAAGTGTTATAGCTAAACAGAGAGTGAACAAAATGCGTATTCTAAATAAACTCAGTTTCTGGAACTGTCTGTTTTAACCTGGCATCGCCTTCCTTGTGTAGCGTCTTAGAATCTTGGCAGTTCCCAAATCTCCAAATATATGTTTCCTGCTTTCTCAGGCCCTTTAGTGTCTGTGTTCATGAGGCAGGAAAGGAAAGGGCAAAATATGAGGCATGGATGACAAGGGCTTCAGGGGTAATGGAGTTACTTGGGAAGCTAGCCAGCAGACAGATAATGTACAGTAGTAACGAAATGAACACAAAATGGATTTGGGTCTTGATAAGTGGTCACAGAGCTATATCCTAAGAAACGGCTTAGCTTGCTATTAGTGTCTCCATGCCTGGCAATATTGTTAAATAAAAACCTGGGGAATTCACTCTGTTTAATGAAACAAATTCTTACATGTGTTTATGTTTTTGGCAATACAGCAAATACCCACATTACAGAAATATGTACACTACCTGTTAAAATTTTTTGCACACCACAGGTTATTACCACTTTTCCATTTATTTCATAAACTGCTGATTTTTTTATTTCTTGTTAAGCTTTGGGAGGTTAAATGAACAACTATAACTGAAAAAATAAGTCAAATAAAACAAGTTTCCTTTATAACATGGAAAGAGTATGTAACAGTGCATGTCTGACATTCTATTAACTGGTTGTGTGGTGATGGCAGAGTCAGATTCTAGGCTGTCCTTTGACTTTAAATGCACTAGTTGACTGTTTCATCCCATGAAACAGAGCAGTATTTAATGTCTCTTGTAGAAAGAATGCCTCAAATTTGCTTCTCTTTCTGTTCCTTCATTTTTGTTCTTTCTCAGTTAAGGGTTTTAATCTTCCTTCTTCTAACTGGTGTCAGCCATCTTTCACAGACAGCAGTAAAACTCTCAGGTTTCATTCAGCCTTGGTGAGCCCACACGTGGGTCATAGCCACCCACCCTCTAAGTACACAGACACATTCTTCACAGCCTTACCCTACACCTCCTATCGATCCTCATAGCTGGTGAGGTGTTTGCAGCAGGAGTGGTCAAAAGGCTTCTCACTGGAACTCACTGGTCACTACTTTTGCTAAACATGTCAGTGAGGCACATGTGACAGTCCACACTGCTCTGCAGTTTGCCTTCCTGCTTGGTCTGCTGTTGCACGGGTCACGTGACCTTTTGATAATGTTAGCCTCCAATCCCTGTGTTGATCAGCATGGTTGCCATAGCGTCTTCTCTTCCATATGGGGATTGGGGTTCCTTAGCTAGTCCACAGTTCCTCTTTGCTCTTTAACTCTTCCAAATGCTGTTGTGTGGCCCTGAGGTGCAGTCCGACCTAACTGGCCAGCCGATTTGCCATATAGATGTTACCCCGCAGCTTACGGTGAAGTTAGTTACACGGGACTGGTTGATCAGAAGAAACTGAGTACAAATGAGATGATCTAGCATGCAGTGTGTCACTCCTGAGTTTGGACATTGATTGTCCAACTCATTTAAGGTTCAGTGAGGGAAATACCATGTTCACTGAGCAGACAGTAGCTTGCATATTGCAGAATGGACTGGCTACTCAGAAATTTAGGTAATACAAATTTGATAGCCCCCTGTAGTGGGCTCTCACAAATACAAAATTCAGTCAATATTCAGCTTTTCTATTGTTATTCATATGGATTCTCTCACTTTTCATTACACTGATGCATACAGAAATGGAGTCTGGGTAGTAGTATGAGTCAATACTCAGCTTGTATAGTATAGTTTATTTTCCTCATTTGTCATCACAGCGGTATTTGAAAGTTTTATTTACAGTGAAAGGATCCGACCTATAAATAGTTTCTCTCAGATGTGTTTCAGATCCTGGATTTGTTTCAATTTTGTTTTGAGTCATTGAGAGCTAAAATGTGACTGCTGTGACTATTTAAAAAGGGGTGCTTTGTGATTTGTGATCCAGTAAGAAAGAATGAAGTCATTGTTTTGTGTGCATGATAACTGAAAGGTCAGAGGACGTAAGGTTCAAGTATAATAGCTGAAGCGCTTCACATGCAGTACCGATGCGGTACCACATCTGCTGTCAGTCTGACCCGCAGTCTCCTGTGTCCTCAGCCTTTCACAGATGCTGAGTATGCCAGGTCTCCACTAAAGCACCATGGACCCAGAAGAACAGGAGCTGCAGAATGACTACCGATACCGGAGTTACTCGGCCGTCATTGAGAAGGCCCTTCGCAATTTCGAGTCCTCCAGCGAATGGGCGGATCTTATCTCCTCCCTGGGCAAGCTCATTAAGGTAGGCTGCTTCGTGACCTCACTCCATTTCCTTTCTTGATAAGCTCGTTCCTTCATCCCATAAATCTGCTGATGTATACTTCTCCTCCCCGCTTCTGGCTCAGGCACTCCAGAGTAACCTAAAATACTCTTTGCTTCCGCGGCGATTGATAATTGGCAAGCGTCTGGCGCAGTGTCTCCATCCCGCCCTGCCCAGTGGCGTGCACCTCAAAGCCCTGGAGACCTATGAGGTCATCTTCAAGATCATCGGCACCAAATGGCTTGCAAAGGACCTCTTCATATACAGGTAGCATGGTCTGTGTTGTTTTGAGGTGTGTGTGCTGGAGGCCTGGGTTGAGCCAGGCAATTCAGACTATCCACACGATTCTCTTGTGTGGTTCCCCGATGGTGGGACAAACTGCCAAACAACACTACCAGTCAAAAGTTTTGGCACACAATGAGATTTCCTGCTTTTGCATGTTACTCACTTAACATTTACTAGAAATACACTCAATATTCTTTGCTAACAAATACATTTACAGTATGTTCACCATTTGAGGACCTCTATTAGAAAGAAAATGTCATATCTTTGATTCATCAAAGTAACCTCCTCTATTAGTTATAACAGCAAAGCAAAGTTGAGGCATTCTTTCTAAAAGGGACATTAAATACTGCTCTGTTTCATGGGATGAAACGGTTAACTGGTGCATTTAAAGTTAAAGGACAGCCTAGAATCTGACTCTGCCATCACCACACAACCAGTTAATTGGGTGTCAGACGTGCACTGTTACATGCTATTTCGATGTTATAAGGAAAACTTGTTTTATTTGACTTGTATTTTCATTTATGGTTGTTCATTCAACTTTTAAATACTTAACAAGAAAAATCTGCTGTTTACAGAATAAATGGTGGTAAAAACTTTTGACTAGTAGTGAATGTCTGGTCATCAAACTCCTTAACCACCTTCAAGAACCGCCTCAAGGCCCATTTGTTTCATGAATTTATTTAGCCTGATGCCACTTCACATTCCTGGAATGTTCTTATGTTACACTTCTGGTCCTTGAATAGTCTTATTAGGTTCTTGCTTTGTTAGAAGTTGTTGTGTAGCTCTAGCTTCTCCATTACTTACACTTGTACCTGGGCATTCATTGAAAGCTCTCCGCCTAGTTGATTCCTTGGCAGCAATTGTGTTTTCGATGTGCTTTTTTGCATGACTTGTACATCACTTTGGACAAAAGCGTCCACTAAATGTGTTAAATGTAAATGCAGACGTAAATGAGCCCCGAACAGCAGGCTTGTAAGCTGCTTTGGTCATGACATGACATGCATGATTGCCGGTGTGTGGAGATGCCTGAACAGCCTCTGTCTCCCACAGCTCTGGACTCTTCCCGCTCCTGGGCCATGCAGCCATGTCTGTAAAGCCGGTTCTTCTAGCTCTATATGAGCGCTACTACCTGCCCCTTCAGCACGCACTCTTACCCAGCCTGCAGGCCTTCGTAACCGGCCTGCTGCCCGGCCTAGAGGAGGGGCTGGAGGTGTATGACAGGTACGCCGTGTCCGTCTGTTCGGGTATCACAGACACACATAGGTGTACATACTCCTAGATGCTGTTACACATTGAAATCCCTGTCGGGGGTGAAGTGGTAGGTGGGGGTGGGCCTGGGCCTGGGCCCCCCCTCCGACTACAAATCTCACATGTGTGTAAAACATCTGTGAAGATTAAGGTGTTGTTGTCATGCAAACTGTGTTTATTCATGACATGCTACTTTTATGTCTCTCATTTTCATGTATACAATCTCATTATGGTGGAAGTCATAACAAAAAAAATATTTAATACGGTACTTAAAACAATTTTGAAATGAAATAGTTTGTAATGTTTTTTTAGTCAAACTATGTTTTTGAGGCATGTATTTAATGAAAAAGCATGTTTGTGGAATTTGCTAACTATTGCAGTGCATGATGGGTATGATATTTGGGTACGATATCTGCAACTATGTGTAGGCAGGCCCTAGAAGTGAATTTGGAAAGGGGGGGTGGGCATGGTCTATTTTTGCCCCAGTTCCCAGTGTATAGTTGTTCACCACTGATCCCTGTACTGACGTGATTGTCTTGAGCACAGGACAGATACCCTGCTGCTGAAGCTGTGCGCCCTGGTGGGGCCACAGGTGCTGTATGGGGCACTGTGGGGCAGCATGCTGGTGACCCCCCTGGTGCGTCTGCCTGCTTCCCATTTCATCGTCACGCACTTCGACAGGATGGCCCCGGGCCGGAAACAGAGACACATGCTGGGCACTAACCATGGACTCGTGGTGAGTGTTTATGCGTGGATGTGTGCATGTCTGGGCAGGGGAGTCTAATTAATTTGTGAGACCTACTGTGTGAAATGTTACATTAAATGGCCATATAAGTATGTGGGTTAATTAGAGGACTAGCCTAATTTAAAGCCAGTTCAGACTTCACTTTCCTGTGTGCACTTTTGGTTGCGGATGAGGGGACGTGACGTCATTTTCGTCATTGGGGCTTGGCTGCGGACAACTGCAGCCATGCACGTGTAGCGCAGCCCACGCGCAGGTCGACTGCGTATGCACAAGATAATTCATTACGTATTTCCAGTAGGTGGCAGCGTGGAGTTTCACAACTCTGCGGTCAACGACAAAAGAGTAGAGGATGAATAGTTGTTATTGTTGTAGTATTTCATTTGCCTTGAAGGTCGGAAGTCGGAGTTGGGAATGATGTCACACCCGAGTTAACCACATTCCAGTAGAGCAAGTCAGAAAGCCATTTAGCAATACCAGGCACCCGTTTCAAAGGGCAAGATTTCTTGTTTAGCCGGATGACTTCGGATTTAAGGCGGATTTAACATACCCCAGATTAAATGGGCTTTATCTTTGGTTGCTTACATTTTGAACAAAAGAAGTTAGTGACTATCATAGGGTGCCTTTCCACCGCCAAGGCCAGGTGCTCAAACCAGTGACCATGTGATCACAGGCACTGAGGCTTAAACCCAAATGAAGTGTGGTCCTATCCCTGAGCTACATCTCTCAGCCAGCAATGGCAACAGCATCAAGAGCTTTTCTTCTCAACCACAGGTGAAGTGATTGTGAAGGTCAAACCTGATTATCCAACACCAATACCCGACTTGAATGGCAGCAGATCCCATCAGCAATATTCCAACTTCTAATGGAAAGCCTTCCCAGAAGTGCAGAGGCTATTATAGCAACAATGGGCCAGCCAACCTCATATTAATACCCTTTGGTTTTGGAATGAGACGTTGGACAAGCCGGTATTCAGATACTTCTGGCCATGTAGTAAACTGCTTTGTAAATGTGACTAGATTGAAAGTACATTGAATATGACATCTTACAGGTTTTGCTTTTACTCATTTATGTTGAATTGTACATTAATATTAAGATAATATCGATTCCTATGTCCTCTTTTTATGTATGTCTGTGGGAGATCATGGCGTGTCCGTGGTCTGATAAAATGTCCCTGAGCATCTCTCTCTCTCTCTTTCACAGATGAAGTCCATCTGTCTCTCCCTGCAGGACTCCAACCTGCTGGTACAAAGGAATGTGTTGGAGATCCTCCTCTTCTTCTTCCCCTTCTGCACATGTCTGGTCTGTGTTTTTTGATTTGATGTTTTATATTGTTTTGCACTTAATCATTTTATTTCTCTTTATAAGAGTGGGTTAAATGGGATATATTAAACATTGAGTTTTGTAACTTTGTAAGGGTTCTTTTATTTTGAAGGATTTTTGTCACATGCAGGCTACAGCCTACAATTTGACCAACTCCGCCATAATAAACATAAATGTAGCAATAAAAAAATAAAACAGAAAAAGCAACAATATGCAAATATATAATAATAAGGAATAGAAAGTTATACTGAAAAAGCAATAAAAACCAGATATTTGTAAAATAAGATAAGCACATTCTTGAACTTTATTCAAGGTCCTGATCAGTAGTTCTGTTTTGTCTCTTGTTCCCCAGGACCCAGCAGAAGCCAGCATCCCTTTAACTCACGATGAAGTCATTTCCCTCGTAAGCTCCGCCCTGATGGCCCTGCTCAGGAGGGACATGTCACTGAACAGACGACTTTACGCCTGGCTGCAGGGTAATCTACAAGCTCAGCGAACGTAGGTGTGTCTGAGGCTCACGTTGTTTGTGTGCTCATGCATTTCAGTGTGTTCTGCTGCCACAGGCACTGACTCCAAAGGAAGCATGGTAGCCGCAGACCCCAACCTCTCTGCCACGCTAGAGGAGCACATGACCTTCTACTTTGAGCACTATTCCAAGGAGCTGCTGCTGGAGGTCAGTTTAACTATCATCAGCCGGGTTCCTGATTAGTGTTTATTATCGTAATAATCACGTTGTGCTGGTTATGCGCAGGTGTATTACTGTGTGTGTGCTAATGTGCTACTGGACTGGGTGGCTTTGGGAATGGTTCGCGACGTTGTCCACACAGGCCTTGATTAGCATCCTCAAACTGAAGAACGCCGAGGTGGATCCAGAAAACGTGATGGTGTTTCTCAGGCCTTTCCGCATCATCATCAGCTTGCTGGACAAGCCAGAGATAGGTGAGATTGGAGAGACATGTGGGTCATGAGATTTTGGAATTTTATACTCACAACTTCTCTAAATGTTCTACACGTAAGTGTAGAATATTTACCTAACTTGAAGTACCTTTGTCGTCAGTTCAGAATCACAGCCTTCAGTGGGTCATTTCTGCCCAAAAGTAGAACTTACTTACCACCTTCTGGACATTGAGCAATATTCTGAACTCTGATCTGTCCTGGTAAGCAGGGAGGATGATAGCGGGTCATACTCTGGGTAGGAGGGTCCTGGATTCAAACCCTGCAGTTGGCAGGGGGATGTCACCATTGCCCCATACAGCCTTCAGCAAGGCTCTTGTCCCCTAATTGTTCCAGGGACTAACTGGCCCTGCTTCCTCAACTGTACGTGGATTTGGATGAAAATGTACTTCTGCATGTATACCTTTGCTGTCACAGGTCCAAAGCTGACAGAGGCCCTGATGTTGGAGGTGGTTCGGGCACTGTACACCTACGTCAGGGACATGCTGGGGGAAGAAGACAACACATTAGAGTCCTGCCTGTCCAAGAACCAGCTGGCCAGGTGAGGGTGGAGGATTCTTCAGGTACCGTTTTCATCATGACCAAAGGCAGAAGTGACTGCGAGTTGCAGCCCCTCTCATGTAGTGTGTCACCTGATTCATGGACACCAGCGATTGGCTGGTGGTAGGGCATGTTAAATGGAGCACAATCTATGCTCAATGGATACTGGGAAAAACAGCTGTGTGTGATGTTTGTAGTTACTAAGGAGTGTTATAATGTAATAAATGACTGCTGCTACTAGCTTAATTTCAGGGGTAAAATGTGAGGATTTGCCTGCGTTTCTGGATCACGCTACAGACGAATTAAACATGAAAGCATGACTTTAATCCCAGGATGCCTTGCGCTCTATTCCACTGTACAGTAAGATCAAAGAAAACAAAAATGCATTGGAGATCATTAAGACTGCCAGCATGCTGATTTCATCTCTGAACGGCGAGTTCCTGTGGGACTTCATGACCAGGCACTTTCAGGCCAGTCTCAGGTACATCATTTCATCTCCACCGATTCTCCACAGGTGGCTTATCATGACACTAGTGTCATAGTAGTTAAAGAGCTGGCAGTGTGACCAAAATGCAGCAGATACTGATTTCTGTTCTGCCCTTGAGCTGGGTACTGAATTCCTTCAGTAAATGTCTAGCTGTGTTCATTGCAAGCTATGAGAGTCATTTAAGAACAGTCTGTTTATTTACTAAGTGTATGACAATGCAAATAATAAATGAATCATTATTAAAAGTCCTTCCACTAGGTGGCTTCCATATGACCTGTGTTTATATTCATACCTGGCAGTGTGGAACCATCGGGACAAGACAGGGGTGCCCCGCCCTCCGTGTGTGAGGTGTCAGTCCTCATTATGTTCCTGCTGGAGGTTGTCAGACTGGTAGGCAGCCGTGTCCTTCATGCACAAGTGAAGTGATGAATGCATTTCCTCATGGGATGTTCATGGTTTCTTTATGTGAGGTTTTTATGCCTGAGAGGCACATTACCTGATTGGCTTGTCTGTATCTCTACAATATACCTGTAATACCTGATTGAATTGTAAGCATCCCTACAGAATTCATATTTTCATATTGTATCTGATTGCCTTGTCAGTTTCTGAGGTCCACACAGGGCAGCGGTTGGTCCAGATGTGGACCGAACTGCAAGTTAAGCCAGACCCAGCCGATAATGCACCGATAATAAACCAATATGGTTAACGTGCAAAGGCTAAGTGCGGTTTGAAATACAAAAAGACAACGTTGAAACACCAAACTTCGCACATACATAACTCGTTATAATCTTGCCTCCTCTCCCATGACAGAGAGGTGAACGATCACCAAGCGTTAAAAGGTCCCTATTTCTGTTATAGATTGATCTCTATATGGAAAGTTATTGTTAATTCATTCAAGTTCATGAAATGCTCTGACTTTGAACAACAATCTGATGCGGACTTTTGATCCAGAAGTTTGAGTACCTGTGACGCAGAGTATCTAAGTGGCTCATTTTGTCTCTGCTTTACCCCAAGGAGCTATACTCCGAGATTCAGACACAGTACTTGCCCCAGATGCTGTACAAAATCCTGCAGGTGCTGCAAGCCCATCTGGCTGCATTCACGCTGCCTGAGCTCAACCAGGCCATGCGTACCGCCTTCATGGTCCTCAGCAAAATCCGGATGCCTGTGGCCTACATGGACATGGAGGCAAAGCCCCAGATGAAGACTCGCAAGGTTAGCTAATCAGCTAGTGAGCTGGGAGGAGCTAACTCACACTCTCAACCTTAAGAAAACTATTAAATAAATGCAGTTTTATAAACAGGTTATGTAAATTGGTTAAGATGAGGGGGTTGACTAACACACTGTTGATATTAACAATTTAGATCTGTGATCTGGTTATGATGCTCTCCTGGTTCTTGAGATCAAATTACTGTTGGGTTTCCTATTGCAGACTATGGAGAACAGGAGATATCAGGCAAGTGAGGAGCACAATGTCGATGAAGGGGACATAGAGGAAGGGGAGGAGCCAGATCTGGGAGCACTGAATGAAGGGGCGTGGCTGGAGGCGGAGCCTGGAGACACATCCCTGCCCACCGTGAGCTCTGAAGACAGCGGCTTGGGCCTCAGTGCCTCCACCTCCGAACAGCACTTGTCCCAGCAGAAGGTGGCCCCAGAGGCATGTCCAGCCCAGGACAAAGTGTGGAGGAAGGGGGGCAGCATGGAGGACATGGCCCGGTGCATGCAGGACATCCTGGACTCTTTCATCAACAGGTAGGGACAGATCAGGCATGAGCTGGCCTAGTGCTACAATGTTGTGCTTCTGCGTAGATCTTTAACGTTGGGTGTTTCTCAACATGAATACTTGACCGCGCTTGTGTTCTCGTGTCCCCGTTTTACGGCGTCTTCCACTGCCCAAGACCAGTTCCAATACTAAGAACACAGGTACAGAGGACGGTAAAGATCTCAGGATGTCATTCTTGCCCCAGATACATCAGTTGTATTCTAGCCAAACGAGACCAATCGCATGATTTACTGCACCCCAAGTGAGCAAGACCAGTCTTGCCAAGACCACAAGTATGATTTTTGTGTTCTCGTTATTGAGAAACACCCTCTGTCTCCTTTCTCTTTCTTTTAGCTGGTACACACCTGGTATCGATGTGACTTATGTCATCTCCACAGCTGAGTCTAACCCAGTAATTTTGGATGAAAAAACCTGGTCATAGAGTTCTCATATGTAGATATTATTATGTTGTATTTTTATACCTAAAAGTAAGGAATTTTAATTGATGCTTTAGGTATATGTCATTTTACCTTACAGGCTAACCCATGGCAGGGTAACCCAAGTCTCCTTGGTTTTCATCAGTCTAAAGTTTCTCTTCCCCCCAACCTGTCCTCCCAGATACCTGCTGCGTTCAGTGGGAGAAGAGAAGAAGCAGCAGGAAGGTAGCGAGGCTACCGGCATAGACCCCGCAGGCCCGAAGGCCCTGGCAGGACAGAGAAGCAGCCGCGAGCAGCTTCGAGAGAAGCTCACAGAGCTCTTCACGCCCAACATGCAGAAGCTGCAGCAGCTGGCTGACTCAGCCTTCCCGTCCTCCAGGAGGCGCCAGAGGAGAGGGAGCGAGGGTGGGGCCAGCCTGGAGTGGGGGGCTGGCTGTCTGTCTCGGGACAGAGCGGAGATTTCAGAGTCCTGTCGGCAGGCTTTCGGAACCACCTGTCACCTGCTGCTGGAGTGCAGCACATTCCCCGTGTACCTGCTGGAGGACGAGATCGAGGTCCTGTACGCAGCTACGTTCCAGAACACCGGTGAGTCCGATGATGTATGCAGCCAGGTTCCAGAATATCATCAAGTCGGACCAACAAAGTTTCCTTTCTTCCCATCAGGCAATGATAAATGTAGCCTTCCGTCATGGCTGAGGTCCCTGATGACTCTGTGCTGCGTTTCGAAGGACAGTCAGATTCAGCATGTGGCCATATCCTCGCTGCTAGAGCTGGTCAGCCACTCTCAGTCCTTGGCACTGGTCATGAAAGATAAGTACCAGCGATACAAGGACTCAGAGAGCAACCCCTTTAGTGGACGTCTGCAGATGGTGACAGTGCCACCTGTCAGTCCTGCCCTCCTCAAGGCCATGGAGGAGGACACAGATTTCTATCAGGTATCAGGAACCTGAATGGCGGTTGATTGACTGTTTCCACTGATGGCTACATGTGTAGTTCCCTCCTGGATTTTAAATATGGAATTTGAATTTGACCTTTGTTCTGGTGCAGTATTTCTCAATCCAGTCCTGGTTACCCACAGTCGGTCCATGTTTTTGCTCCTGCCAAGCTCCCTGCCAGACAGTCTACATTTTTGACTCCCTCCCGGCTGTGGGACCCCGAGGACCAGATTGGGAAACACTATTTTAGTGGATTCTTGTTCATTTGTCTGTGGAAATGAGGAAGCCTTGCTCTCCCCAAAGCGTGTGGCACAGGTGCTGTGGGCACAACTGGACTCGGAGCAAGGAGATTTGCACGTTTCCTGCGTGGAGCTCTTCTACCGGCTGCACTGCCTGGCTCCGTCCGCCTCCGTCTGCGAGGACATCATCTGCTTGGCGCTGCAGCACAGGGAGAAGGTAAGAGTACCTTACCGCAAGCGGCATACGTCAACCTTCGTAGATGTACTCAGGAGGTTGAGATGGGCGGTTCTGTTGCAGGCCGTCCAGCTGGAAGCTCTGCACAGGTTCTCCGTTCTGTGGCATCTGACCCGGGATGTCCAGACCACCATGGCCACGTCACTGAACCGCTCCTTTGACAGGTTTTGCCTCCCCGTGGCTGTTTTTGTTTGAGGTCCCACTCAGCACCAGGTGCTGGAGCTGCTTCGTTGACGCTACACTCTGGTGTTTCGCAGATCGCTCTTCGTAGTTTTGGGCCGCCTGAACAGCTCGGATGGGTCAGTCAGTACGACAGCGCAGAGCTGGCTGGTCCGTGCCCTCACCCTTGGCGACGTCACCCGGATCCTGGAGCCGGTTCTGCTTCTGCTGCTGCACCCTGAGACGCAACGCTGCTCCATTCAGTGCACCTGGGAGAACCTGACCACAGGTGAGTAACTACCAAGGGCTGAACTCGCTGTCCCCATTTAGACTCTTAGCATGACAACTGTGGGACTTCTCAAGGCTTCCGATACAAGTCTGTATGCTTGTTTTCTTCAGGAACCCTGAGAATGGTAAACCACAAGGGCAGTTCATTGCATTATACTTCCGGGAGTTCTGCGGATGTCATGGCAATGGAGAGCCTATCAGAGGAGAGGCTGCTGACCTGGCTGATGGCGGTGGACCGCGATACTCTGTGGGCGGAATTGGAGCATATCCCAGAGACTATGAAGGTCCCGGATTTTTCAGTGGAGGGGGACGGTGAGAATGAAGACAGGATGGAAAATGAAGGGTGGAGACGGGAGTTGGGGGAGGCGGAGGGGGAGAGCAGTGAGCACACGGACTCAGCGGACACTAGCGGTGCGCAGCTGTCCACAGAGACCTCCACCTCGGCCTCTGGCACAGCCCCGTACCTCCAGCGCATGGACTCCACCCACACCCAGGCTTCCGAGTCCCTGTCCAGTGAGGACGAGGAAGAGGAGCTAGCAGCCTTGGCCCACCAAAGGCTACTGAAGCAGCAGCAGGAACAGCGGGAGGCTGTCAGCGCGCTTTTCAGACACACACTGCTCTACCTGCAGCCCTACGAGCATGCCCGCATCCTCCGGGCCTTCTCCGTACTAGAGATCCTTGTCCGAACCTGTGGCCGGCCCTTCGTGGAAGCCACATCTACCACTACCCTTGATTCTGGAGTCCCTGCTCATCTTGCTCTGGTCTGCAATCTGTTGTTGCGTCACCAGGAGACGCTGGAGGGTCGCAGCTTCTATGGACGCTGGCCGGCCCAGTCCACAGAGCCCCAACCTCAGGGCCCGCTGATCGAGCTGCTGGCCAACCTCTGCCTGCGCTTCCTACGCTCATACTATCCTAGATACCTGCGTTTGGATGTGCCTCGCCTACAGGGGAACCTCCAGGTCCAGGTGAAGAGCACAGAGGTGCTGACCTGCTTGCTGGGCCAGCTGGTGGACTTGGCCCGGACTCAGGACCAGCCCGGCCTGGAGATGATCCGTCGGCTCCTGTCAGCCAACGGAGTACAGCAGTATGTACTTCTCTCGCTCTCTGCCTCGATGCACGTCAGTCAGCTGCACAGCAGCGACGAGGACGCGGCCGGAGACCCGGAAGGGCCGTCCGAAGAATGCCTGATTGAGCGTGACCCCGATGTGGCTGGAGAACATGCCTTGCAGGTGGAGCTGCTGAAACTGCTGCGGGTGCTGGTGGTTCTGGAGCACCTTGTGGGCCCCGAGGCAGCCACCGAGCAGCACGGGGCCACCAACGCTGCCTCCCCACTGGCACGCGAATGGCAGACAGCCCAGCAGTACCAGCAATCCATCCGTGCCCCGCAGTATGTGCCCGACCAGCCCATCACTGCACAGGGCATGTTCGTCTCAGCTGTCTCCCGTGCCCTGCTGCCGCGACACGGCTACACCATGCACCCGCACTGGGTGGGCTTGGTGTGCGCATCGCTGCCCTATCTGGGCCGCTCCCTCGCCGTCACCGCCACCCCATTCGTCATCCAGATCTGCAAGAACTTGGACGAACTGGTGCACCAGTATGAGCACGAGGCCAACAGGTCTGCCCACAGGTTAGTGCTCCAGATGACATTGCCTCACAAAAACGTGCAAGGCAAGGGTACCATTCAACCTGGGGAATCTATTTTAGGTGCCTGGTGAGGGGACCTGTGAGATCTCTCTGTTAGCCAGATGTGGGAACCCTGAGGATCCGTTGTGTGTCAACAGGGGCAGCGTGAAGAGGAAGGTTGTGACCCCAGATTACCTCCTGACCCTACTGGAAGGCCTGACCACTATCACTCATTATTGCCTCCTAGATAATAGGAAGGTAAGGAACACCCAGAAGCACCCAGTCCCTTCACTGCTTCCCAACCAGGTGTTCCTGCTCCCTCACTACTATGATTATAATGATCACCAAGTTCCATTTCTCCTTATTCCAGGTGAATAAATTTCTGCCTCTCTGCATAACCTCTTATAGCCCCTCTCGACCTCCGATGTGGCGGACCTGCGTAATGCTCGCAACGCCATCCTGGAAGAGCTTCCACGCATAGTCAGCAGTATGGCTCTGCTGTGGGGTGTCATCAGGAGAGAGGAGGGAGCCAGGAAGGGCTCTGACAGCAGCCACGGCCCTGGGCAGGCCTACCATTCTGCCTGCTTCAGGAACATCAGGGTAACAGATGGACGCTGTGCACTTCCTTGGATTTTTGATACAGTCTGAAGGCTTTTGTGACCAGGTGAATGTGACCTGCTTTCCATTTATGGTTCAGATTCTCAGGCAGAAGGTGCTGGAGTTTCTGGAGCCCCTGGTGGGCTTGTTTGGGATGCAGATCATGGCATCTGTGGGTGCTGTGTGGAACAGCAGGAGAAGTAAGAAGAGGCACAGCCAAAACAAGGTGAGTCCATCTGCTCCAGCTTGACAGCCACGTCACCAATGACCTGCGTTACTCCATGACTCGTCTTCCCAATTTGGCGCCTTTTCAGAAAGGGCTTCTGTCTCCTTTAGATCTTGCCGGCCGTCAGTGAGCCTCACCTGACCATCGTGGAGCTCGTGAAGTCTCTGAGCGTGCTCCGTGTTGACACCATTTTGCAGCTGGTGAAAGAGGTTGTGAAGAAGCCACATCAAATAAAGGGAGAGCAGGTGCCGTCTGCCTTGATGTGCATGTTCACTGATGTGTACAGTGAGAGCCAGATGCAACAAAAGTCACACAGACACACGTCCACCAAACCACACTCTATATCTCTCCCCTTTATAGAAGTCCACTCTTGTTGATGTTCCCCTTCTTCAGTTTACCTACACCTACATCCAGAGGTATGAGAACAATGTGAAGACCCCTAAACTTCCTTTATGTACACAAGGGTAAAGCTAAACTCTTAGCATATTGATTCCCATGATCCCCACTGTGCCGTCTTGCAGCATCTCTGCTCAGGTGCTCCAGGAAAATGTCACTCCTCTTCTCTGCCTCCTGAAGGAGTCAGTCCAGATGAATCTGGCTCCTCCTGGACACTTCCTCCTACTGAGGTGAGTCCCAACTCTGTTGCAGGCTGGTCCCCCAGGACCGGAATTTGAGAACCCTATGCTAAAAGCTCATTTTCTTCACTTCTGGTTTCTCTCTGTCACAGGATTCTCAATGATCTAGTGAACAGACTCCCCAATCTAGAAAACAAGAAAGACAACAGAGATGTGCAGGTACGGTGTGACCTAGAGGGAAAGTGTGGAATAGCAGGCTACCGCTAAGCCACGTGGCCCTGAGGATTCTGCTTCTCCTTGGTGATGGAGTGTAGGAGGTGACCCAGAGGATCCTGGACGCAGTGGCCAGTGTGGTGGGCTCCTCCCTGGAACAAACCAGCTGGCTCAGTCGCAACCTAGAGGTGAAGGCCCAGCCACAGGTGCTCCAGGAGGAGGAAGAAGAAGCAGATGCCGCAGATCTCTATGGTAACTTTGAGGAACTTTGTGGGATCAGGCAAAACTAGGCTTAGGGGAAATGAAGATTTAATCACTGTGATATCAACGGCCTTGACACACTGTTATTTTTAGCCTGAAATAATTTAATTGTGTACACTTTTTTATGGCACCAAAAATCTGTTGTGTACTAGAGTAATGTAGACTACATCTAGGCTGGAAACATCACTTATTCACTTAACTTATTAGTGCAGCAACTGTCTTAATTTTTATGGCAAAGATGAACGACCTGGTTGCAGAGAAGACTGCTTCAGTGTTTTGGTTACAAGTCAAGTAAGAAAGGGGATCCATCAAGTTTAAATGAGATCTCTTGCTCACTCACCACAGAGGTCATCATGCAGGTTAATTGGAAATCTAAAGTTACTTAACTTACATGCTCAGCAACAGATGTAAACAGTCTACAAGTCAGACTCAGATGCAGTCGGCCATCGTTGCCGTGTTTCTGACAAGCGCAAATGCAAATGTGTTAGTTTAAGATAAAAGGAATGTTATCAATAGATAAATTGCAAAACATGTGGTGAAAGCTGCTTTGAAATGATAAGTATTTGAGCATCAATATGAGGGCTGCAACCCCAAATACTTTCCAAAAAACTGGCCTGGTGAGTTACTACCAGAAAGCTACCAGAAGGCAAAGTGGCTTTAACAATGGACATGTGATCCAGTGTGAACTTAGTTCATAATCAGTTCATAATCCCCGATTGGAGAATCCAAATAGAATTTTCCCCAAGAGTCACATTGCAGAGAATCTGGCTCATGCATTGCCTTCTGCTATGGTATTGTTCTCTTTATGTAAGTACTAACTGTACCTTTTGCCTATTAAAATTGCACCCTTTACCATAAATCAGACACAGATTTGCAGCCCATACCTGGTCACTATGAACGTCTTAAAAATTCCTTTCTATTCAAAGGAAGTGACCTCTTGGAGGTCATAGCTGACTGTACAGAGGAAGCGACACCAATCAGCCAGAAAATGTAGATTTTAGCTTTCTGTATCAAGGATTTTAAAAATACGAACGAAAATCTATAACATGATTTTAAAAATGGCCTATTAATGATTTTGGAACCATAATTTTGTGCAGCCCCTAGTCAAGACCGCACCGCTGTCACCCAGTCTCTGTGCAGAAAGTCCTATATATTACTGAAATGTTACCAGTTGCCTGTTGCCTCCATACTGCCCTGTATAATACATGCGATGTTTGTGTATGACTTGTGTGCATCACCTGTATGTATGATGTTTCCTCCCAGACGTCGCCGCCCAGCCCAGTGCCGTTGTGTCCTCATCAGCACCATCTGTCTACAGTGTCCAGGCTCTCAGCCTGCTGGCCGAGGTATACCCCCCCCCCCCCCCCCCCCACACACACACACACACACACACAAACTCGTGATCACAAATGGCAGCCCGTTTGCGGTGAGGCATGTGACTGAATGGTTCGTGTCTACCCTCAGGTATTGGCTCCCCTCCTGGACATGGTGTACCGCAGCGAGGAGAAGGAAAGAGCCGTCCCTCTTATATCCCGCCTCCTGTACTTTGTCTTCCCGTACCTGAGGAACCACAGGTATCCATGGAAACTGTCTCCTTCAGATTATATGTATAGATATGTGAGCATGCGCCAACCACGCCCGTTGCTCCTCTTCGTGTTTCCTGGCAGTGCCCACAACGTGCCAAGCTTTTGTGCAGCAGCCCAGCTCCTGAGCAGCCTGAGCGGCTATGCCTACACCAAGCGCACCTGGAAGAAGGAGGTCTTTGAGCTTTTCATGGATCCTATGTTCTTCCACATGGATGCCGCTTGCGTGACACAGTAAGGTCCCTAGGGGGCAGCGGTTTTGGCTTCCCATTTCTGTCCAGTATTTACTGTTACCTTATACATATTCTGCTGATGCACCACCAGTAAATATTTTAAATATTGTGTAATTTATAATATGTATATAACATCTTTGGAGAATTGTATGTATTAAATTTCTTGTAGGGAAATGAAGTGAAGTGTCGTTAATCAAACATGCAGCATTCCTTAACTTTAATAGCCTGTCTGATATAACCGTTGGACTATTTCCATCTGCTTTCATCAGCTGGAAGTCCATTGTTGACCATCTGTTGACGCATGAGAAGACCATGTTCAAAGAGTTGATGAGTGAGTAATGTGGGGGGTCCTTCATTTCCAGCTTCTGTGAGTACTTTCTAACCGTGTGTTCATCTCTCCTCACCCCTCAGGTCTGCAAAGCAGCTCCTTGAAGGTTCTGTCAGGTCAGGAACAGAAGGCTCTCCTCCTGAAACGCCAGGCCTTCTCTTTGTTCAGCGGTGAACTGGACCAGTACCACCCCTACCTGCCTCTCATTCAAGGTATTGCATGAGGCCCGGTTCTCACGGAGTACTTGGCTGAATCCAGGGGACGACCTCAGGGTTTCTCTTCTTGGTCTAGCATGGGAAACCCCCTCTTTTTGCAGAGCGCCTGACAGAGACCCTGCGGGTGGGCCAGACTCCCTCTGCTGCGGCACAGATATTCCTCACGTTCCGAGTTCTGCTCTTGCGAATCTCCCCTCAGCATCTCACATCATTATGGCCCATTATGATCACAGAGCTGGTGAGCCACGATCCGTAAGGAGGGCAGCTCTTCCTACATTGAATTATGTATGATGTGCCAGATGCATGATGGGTGAACGAAACACCAGAACTGTTACATTTAATTTTGCCTCCTTCCTGTCAGATACGCGCATTTGTTCGGCTGCAGAAGAATCTGCTGGACAATAAAGTTTCAAAGTGAGTTTCCTTTTGTCTTAAAAATGATTCACTTCACTTCAGCTCGGTTCTGACCCGTTTCCCTCCTTCCATCTCCATCTTCAGAGCTGTCGGTCGTGCTGGGGGGGGCCGGGGGGACCCAGGAAGGAATGGAGCCCTGTTCCTCCAGAACGAGCTGGACATGTACCTGTCAGCCTGCAAGTTCCTGGATACGGCTCTGTCTTTCCCACCCGACCGAATGCCCCTCTTCCAGATGTAAGTTGGGAGCATCCGAGGAACTCGTTTACACTGCATCAGGAATTTCACATCCTCAGCATCGGTGTCAGTTTTCTCATGGGCAACCAGGCAGGGAATGATGGCCCTGCATTCTGCTCTTAGTGGCCAATATGTTCTTGCCCCATAATGCATATAAAGGTAGTTTGCTTTTATTTATATGTGCTTTTGGTTGTATATGATGTGACATTGCTTTTTCTGCATTGTGATGTACGCTGATGTCCTCCTTGAAGTTCAGTGGAAAATGAGATGTGCCAGATCACATAGTGGGGGCTCATCCATGCTGTCACTGTGCAGATACACTGTAAGTCAGGATAGAGTCTCTGCCCATTATCCATCAGTCTGTCCGCTTTTTCACATGCAGGTATCGCTGGGCATTCATCCCTGAGGTGGATGTTGAGATGTTCAGCGGACCAGACAATGGCTTGATAGAAAGTGAGCCAGAAAGTCAGCCCCATGTGGTTCGGATCCTGGAGGGGCTACGCTACAGATTTGGGGTGAGATACTGCAAGTTTGCGTAAGGCTGTAGTCTTGCTGCAGTTTCTTAAGGCTGTGGCATTCTTACGGTGATGCTATGTTCTGCTCTAGGACCTGAATGGTATGGTGTCCAGTGACAGCACTGAAGAACGTCTGGAGTTCCCCCTGCTGAGGTCACGCTCCATCTCCTGTATCTCTGAGCTGTTACCTTTTCTCCAGATCCTCAGTTGCTCTTTCAGGGGTTCTAGGGAGCTGCACATGCATTCGCCAAAAGTGCAGTACCCTGCCCCCAACAGTGAGGCAGTACTGAGCCGACTGGAAGAGGTCATAGAGGTGGAGTTCCTTGAGACTCTTTGAGCTGGGCTGTTTCATCTTCCTGCCCAGCTCTCCTCTCAGTGTTGTGGTGCCATATTTGCATACATGTGTGTCCTGGGAATGTGGTCAGACTGTCCTATGGCTGATTGGAAGAAGAGCTCCACATCTCACCTGGGTCTGCTCTTCCTGTGCGAGCAATTCTCAGGCTGTGCATTGTGGACGCTGCAGCCTATAGCAATCCACACCCCTACTATGGTGCTGTCCTGCTGGAAAAACTCATGGGGATCAGGAAAAACAAGGAAGAATGAAAAGGAACCGTGTGGGTCACTAATTCCAACAACGTGTTTAAGTGTGTGCTAGGCACATGGACTAAGTCTTTTTAAACATACAGCATCACCGTGCTAATGTGCTCTGTTGACACGCTATAGGAGTGAAAAAACACCAAAAGAACTTTAAAAGCCCTTCGTACCTGTCTTTTGTCCTATACCATGAAGTTCCCCAAAGGCATATCACAGCTTTGTATATAGAGATGTGCACGCCTATAACACACAGTCCCACTGAATCGAAATCTGTCTTTCGAACAATGTGCTGGGTCTATTTCTGACCTTATGGGTTTAGAACAAAATGTATCCTGTCAGTGTCCAGGAGGGTTTTCAAGGAATGGACATGAATCAATTTTAAGGATTGAATAACGAAAACACTGTAGCTTTCTTGTCTGCTTCTGTCCCTAATGAATGTTATCCTTCGGTCAGTGAAAGCCTAAATTATGGCAATTTGAAAAATCATAAATTAGTATAATTATGGCATATTATAATAATGATCTGTAAATAAGATTATCTGTGCAAGTGAAATAACCTGGTTAACCTGTTGATCCTCGGTACATTAAAAAATCCTGCAAAAACATTATGACTCTCCATCTACTGCATTTGCTTATCCAGTGCAGGGTTCGAAAAAGCCCAGGCAACAAAGCAGGGGACACACTGGGAGGGAGGCCACTGCGTAACAGGGCACACATGCTATGGATTACTTTGAGACACCAGTTTCCCCAGTTGGCTAAGTATGCACCACATTCTAGTGCCTCAGGGACATTGTATCACTGTCGGAGTCAGACAGCAATCTTGTGTCCCTTCAAGTCATACTGCATACCATACCAGAGTGTTTTATATGGTTATTTACAGTACTGACTCATGTCACTATAGACCTGCAGAAACACACTGTAAACAAGGGTTTACCTTGTGACAGATTGAACCACCTAGGCTGACTGCCAATACTTTCCTGGTTTCATAACATTTATAATGAGGACATAATGATAGAATGTATGAGGATTTCATGTCTGAATTAGCCATTGGAAAGGGACATCTGGAACTGCGCCAGATATCTTGTGCACAGAAGATGAAAATGCCATTTGTTGGAAAATTGTTAGTGCCTATCTGGAAAAGGAAGGGTGATCGCCTGGATTGCAGCAACTACATGGAGATAACACTGCTCTCAGTGCTGAGTGAAGTCCTTGCTAGGGTCATCGTCAACAGGATATGTGATCACATGCTTGCCTGTCAGTGACCAGAGCAGTCTGGTTTTATGCCTAAGAAGTCTACCATCAATGAGATCAGGTGTTTCATAGCTAATCATAGGATCAGCCTTAAGAACTGTGGACCCAGAGACGTCCAACATCCCAGCTGAAGGATCAGCTTTTCTGCATTCTTTTACAATAAATTAGTATCCTCATTTTCGAAAACCATAGTTACAGCTGCAGCCCCCATACAGTACAGTCAAGTATGTTGTAAAGTTACCCGTGTGCAGATTTGTGTTGCGAAGTTTTGTTATATTTTTATTTCAATTTTATTTTCATTTTATTTCATTGTGAAGACATATGTCAGTTACAATGTGTACTTATCCAAATTAGCAAAGTTGGTGTCCATGTTCTGGCGTTTGCTTATCTGGCAGAGATAATAATTACAAATATCCGGCACTTAATTAACAGCATCTAAAATTAAATTAAAATGCTAATATTAAGTTTAGCATCTAAAATGTATCAACCACTGTCTGCCCTTATCCCCTAGTGAGTGTTCAATGTAGGGAACACTATGTAGTGAGTGAGTGAACAAGAGAACATTTCACATACAGCCTTAGATTCCTAATCTCACACAGAACTCTAGTGAAGTGATGTTTGCAAATGATCCAATTCTTTGGAATGGCTCTTTGGAACGAACAAAGCAGGGGTCACCAACATGGTGCCCGTGGGCACCAGGATGCCCCCAAGGACCACATGAGTCACCCGCAGACCTGTTCTAAAAATAGCACAACTCACCAGTGAGCAGCGTCTCAGATTTTATTTTATCCTGTTGCTATTCTTCTTTAATCACATTCGCATTTATATAGATTTGAAAATGACAATATCTAAAAAAAAGTATTTAAACCATGTTTATTATACATGAAGTCTATATAAGTTTAGGAGGGTGTTTCAAACTGGTCGCCCTTCGTATGGCTCAGTACCCGTGAAGTAGCTCTCAGTTTCAAAAAGGTTGGTGACCCCTGAAAAAAAGTGACACATACTTGAGGGCTGTTCTTTTAATCCACTCCCCTTTACGCTGAGGACAGTGTGAAGCAGCCAGTCACAAAAGGTAGACATTGTCGCGTTAGGTTAGGCAGAATGAGCAGGATTTGCTGGTTGCTGTTTGTTTCAGATAATTGTTTACCTGTCAGATTAGCATTAAAATCCATCTTGCACAAAAAGTTCATTATACATTCTTTTGAAATTGTGCCAAAAGTTTTCAATATTTAGTGTTGCATGAATTGCATTCAAGGCAGTGCAACTTTATTTACATAACACATTCCATACATAGGGTGAATTCATGGGAGTAAACTGACAAAGCAGAGGGACATGGCATCACCTTGTATAATGTTTACAGTGGAGATCATTGGCATGAGGTCTGGCAATACGAGTTATTCAGTGCCGCTAAACCTAGTCCTCACATGCCAAATGAAATTATATTGATGTGATGTCTAAGTCTGAATCTGATACAAATCTTACCCTATCATTATATTAGTGATTATTTTGCACAAGAACCTACCCTGTCAGAAGCAGTGGCTGTTTCTCGATACCAAGAACACAAAGACTTACTTGTGGTCTTGGCAAAACAGAACACCAGTCTTACTAACTTGCCTCCCAAGAACGAACTTGCGACACAATGAATCATGGGATTGGTTTTATTTGGTGAGGGTGCAACCAATGTATCCTTCACATTTGGGGTGGGGCAAGATTTACATCTATGGATTACTTCTGTATTAGTTTCTGATCTAAATATTACCCTATCATTATCCTAATACTGTAAATATGTCGCAGATGAACCTAGTAACCCCCGTGCCCTTAAAAATAAAAGAAGGATGAACTAATCCTGTATGGGGCTCTTGTAAAGCAACGGCGCCTGCAAAGAGCCATTATTCACTCAGCCTGAATCACTAGGCCTAGAGGTTCTTATGTATCAAAATTTCTTCAGCATGCAAACTCCTTCTTCCTGTAAGGTTTCGATTTCCTGTTTCGCTGATGACGCAAATGTGAGTTTCAAGTCACCCCATATGTTTCCAGTTCACCCTTACAGCGGAAACAAGCATTTACATCAATAAAATATGTTTATGAATATTGGTGTATTTTGTTCATTCTTTCTGCAGTTTGAG